AAATTCATTGATTCTCGCAGATAAAGCTGCACGAAATGCTGCGGAGTCGTATTTCCTTTCTTTTGCAGCTTTACGGCGGGCTTCGTTGAGGACATGGTAGCAGAATTCATTATCTGGAGTGGAATTGCTAGTAGCATCGGCGGTTGACATTATAATCTACGATTTCTTGATGTCGTCAGGCGGTTTTTGCTTGATATACTACTAATAGAGCATAGTATCTGGGTGTATAAAAATTTCGGCAGAGAAAGAGTGAGTGGAAGGCGAGATGTGCGTGGCCGGCACCTAGCTCTTAATGAGCCGCGTCTCGCGCGTCAAGGTCACGTGCGCGCGATCCACACCCGCCCAAACGATTGTCACCAGACGCTCTAGCAGAGACTGCACTTCGGTTTTTCGAAGTCCGACGCAGTCTCGCTCGGTTCCGTCCGAGCGCTGCTGATGCAGAGACTGCACTTCGGTTTTTCGAAGTCCGACGCAGTCTCGCTCGGTTCCGTCCGAGCGCTGCTGATGCAGATGGTTTACGAGACTACATTGCAGCGAGCAGCATGAGTGGGGCAGGTTTGTCATGGTCGAATCCTCCTTGGACTTGTGGAGATGTCGGTTAGCCAGAGGATGTTATGCCTTGTCCAAGTGAGTGGTTGTAGGGTAAGTAAGGAGCTCCATGAGAAGATTGACAGCTGAAGGAGCTCTCGAGACGGCAACGGCGGACGAGGACCGGCAGTGCTCCGTTTACGGCAGGCAGATCAACGGTGACATAAGCTGCCGGGTCCTAGGGTTAGGGCTATCGCGATATTAACATGACGTGACCCACGTCGTCGTCGTCTGGACCGAGCTGCGAGTTCAGAACTCGTTCTGACCCACGGACTAAGCTCCCGCCTTGGGCATGCGCGCACACCCGCCGCACTCAGTGCCTTTCGCTTCACCACCCAATGCGACTCTCCGCCTGCTTTGCGCCCTCTCTTCCTTCCCCATTCCTGTCGCCGTCTCATTCTCGTAGCTGCAGCCAATTTGCTCGGACTTTTACACACACTGCGCAGGGCATCGCCATCGCTTCCTACTCCCTACACCGTTCGCTGGGCCGCGGCGTCGATGATGTCGACGAAGAGACAGCGGGTGTCGTCTCTCCGGTCTTCGTCTGCTAGAAGCATAGAAACTTCGATGCTCGTCGCCTGGCGCGCTTCCGCGAGCGTCTTCTTCGCGCCGTCCAGGCGTGTCTGCAGGTTCTCGTCGCCGGACTTGCGCGTGTAGGCCTGCGAGACCTGTTGTGCAGCCGCCGGCGTCACGTAACCCGAGATCTGCGCAAGGTGCACGACCTCGATCTCGGGCGTTGCCTGTAATGGTATGTCAGAACTCTGGGCTTTGGGTAGAAGATGAAGGGGTTGCGTACGCGTAACATCCTGTCCATGCCGAGCTTCTTTCGCGACGCATTTGACCAGCGCGCTGGGTGAGCGGGAGTGCCGCTGCGCTGACTCCTGTGTGCACGCCGACGAGGTACACAAGAGTCTCAAAGACGTATGGTCCAATCTCTGCATGCCGTCGTCAGCCATGAACAGGTATCAACGGGTGGTCAAAACACACCCTCTAGCTGCAGCGTCTCGTACCAGTCCACCGCAGGGTCTAAAATTCCTCTGCAGACGACGTCCATTAGGGCAGTCGCCTTCAGCCTGACATAGTTCTCGAACGGGTTTCTGCCAAGCTTCGCCACGATCGCTAACTATGTCTGTGATATAGCATCAGTGTCGGCTGACCATCGACGTGTCAATGCACGTACTGTGTAATTATTCCTGTATCGAGATATCTGCACTCTCGGGCTCATTGGTCACACCCGGAACGACAATCATCGAGAGGTGGCCGAAGCAGAAGATATTTAATCATCCGCTGTGTCTTACGGCAATCGTTAGCGAGTTTCGTGCCACGCCAAGCAGATAACTTACAGAGCTTGACATGCCCAGCAATTCTACAGGATTCAGCTCATTGGTAGCGTTGTCGTTTGATACGCGCGCTCTTCGGTTCGAGTCTTTGGCAGTTCGTTGGATGCAAGGAAAACCAAGAACGCGTACACGGTGTCCAAAAACAATCTGGCGATCTTCGACACAAGTGTCTGCCGCACTGGATTCTATTTGAAAAGTCGAGACGCCGACGTCGCTGTGCTCGACGAATCGACACCGCCAGCGATCTTGAAGGCACCCGTGGCAATATGGCGTCGGAAGGGGCGCATTGGGACTGGGAAAAGTCGCATCCGGCTCTGCAGTCGACCCGCGCTAGTTCTCGAGGTGGTAGAAGATATTCGTATCTGCTAGAGCTAACTTAGCCGCCACTCGCACTGATGAAGCCCGGAAATTTGCCATACCTAGCCAACGAGCTCGAACACGCGTGCAAAAATCTTTATCTGATCGCGCGGGGTGCGTCCCGCCTCGAGGGCAGCGCAGAGGGAGATATGGGCAACCAGGTCACTACCGGTCGACCGGCGCATTCAACGCGGTACCGGTCCAGCGCGTACGGTAGTATCGTGCAGTCAGGGTGCCTCTCTGCGCGTCGGAGGAGCATGACGAGATAGACGCTAGCGGCGAACCCAAGTTGCAGTGGCCGAAATGCGGGGCGTGCCCGTGTGCACGGCTATGCGGAAGAGCGTCGATGCTCACTATGCCTAATTCAAGAGGCGAATCGAGGTGATATACGAGCAGGTTCTAGGGCTGGGCGCGGGCGACGCTTGAGGAGTTTGAGGCGGAGGACCGTCCGGGAGGACAAGAGAAGTGGAGCAAGTGCGCGTACCACTCAGATGCGACGATCTGCGACATCATCACCTTGGCTGCGACGCTTCAGTCGATCTGTATCCTCGCGAGCAAGCACCACGAACACGCCAAGTGGTACGAGGAGACACAGTCGCACGACTCGGCGACTGAACGCCGCCGCGTGCCGCGCGCACCTCCTGGATGGAGCCAAAGACGCGACAGCCGGCGTGTCCAGCCAGACATGAATACATCCAACGCACCTCCTGAATGAAGCCAGGATGCGACAGCCGGCGTATCCAGCCAGACACTGCCTATCACCGCCTGCCTCCCCCACCTCGCCGCGCCTTATGCCTCCTTGCGCCCCACTCTGTCGCTCATGCGGACAAAGTTGACTCAGCCCCGCCTCTCCTGAACACCGGCGTTAACCGGCGAGATGTGTCTGCACGACGACGACGATCCGATGCTGCTGCGCCTGCACGAGCGCATCTTGACATGTCGGACCGCGTCGACGTGTTGCGGAGCAAGCTCAGCGACACAGAGGACAACTTCCGGAAGTGGCTCGCCGAGAGACTGAGCACGCGTGTTACATCGTCATCGGTCAGTAAAGACTTTGTTTCTATTTTTTACTCATCCTGAGATTAATCTGATCGTACTCTACACTACGTACTTGATGTGAGATAATCTTTCACCCTCGGAATATCCCAGTCAATCAAGAACGGACAATGGATGGATTGGATGTGTCCATGATTTGAGCTTGGAAGCAGAGCAAAAGCAGAGTCACGGAAAAGCGCGAACTGCAGAGAAGAGGAATCGCACCGCCGGCGGATGCAATTGTTTGCGGGAGTTTCATTGATTACTCCCAGCGCCCGCAGCCGACGCTGTTATCCTTCTGAGCTTTGCTGTTGTCCACTCACTTTCCCTCGACCATTGTCTCTACCAATTGCTCATCCTTGAGTACTGAGTGAGTATATGAAATGGGTTACAAGACTCAGATCTGATGACTATTTTTGTCTTAGGAGTGCCCATGCTCGCCTTCTATGATGCCATCCTCGCATTCTTTCGAGGCGGACCCAATGACGACCCCTTCTCTCCTGAACGTTTCCTAGTGGAGGAGGACTTGTCAATCGTGAATGATGTAGTTAGAGAAGAAGATGTAGTGAAGAAGGTGTGCCTCTGTTTGCCTGTCGTTATTGAGAAAGCTGACTTTTACTGAGAAGATTAGTGTGCCTCTTGATGCCCCCTCCTTCCGTCTTGCACAGGTATGCTCACGGTTCTTCTTGATCTTAGAATTACATTGCTCACTGGTATATAAGTTGTCGTCGGCATTCACGCCGAATAAAGTTCACGCAGTACTTGGCATCATTTTACTGCTGGTCGTGCAACTCACAATTTCCATCCTGGCGGGCATCTTCCTCACTCCTCGCATTCCTTGCGCCCAACTACTACCATTTCTGAACAAATATTGCCCTCCTCCTCCTATCAGAGGGTCTTGCGACAATATATCGGTGTGCCCTTGCTCCTTTCTGTCCGCATTTGGGGAAGATGTCGAGGCCAGTAGCCCTAGCATTGGAGTGGATAAAGCTGTCCTTACCGGCAGCCCTGAAGAGTCTACTACGCTTTGCCTAACAAACCTTGCATCCGGCTCAAGTGGTGCACGTATATTGCACAAGCTCTGCAAGGTCGGTCCGCATAGGTCGTTAATGGCTAAGTTCCTGCGCTCTTCAGAATGCCGTCATGCGGACCGTGTGTTGAGCGACTCACTCGAACAACACACCTGTTGGCAGTTTGATGGCTCTGAAGCCCTCCTGCCTATCAGGCTAGTCGCTCACTCAACCATCTCCCATTTCTCGGTTAAGTCTTCAGGCTCGGGCAATGCCAGCAGTGCCCCGCGGGTGCTAGTATTATGGGGAGTCATAGACGGTGCACAGAAACAATATATTCCACAACAGTTGTCCAGCCTGCGTACCACGTTCATGGCTAGACTTCCAAGTGGATGGAAGACACCTGTTCTTCAAGTGTCACAAATTCGCCCCATACAAGCGCCTATTATATTCTTAGCACTCATAATCGCGCTAAACACGATCACGTGACCTACATGGTCACATGCATATCACGAGACCTAGATCATCATATAGATATGATGGGATCAGTAGATAAGATAACTACAAGTCCAGAACTCGTTCTAGACCAGTCACATGTCATGACAACATGAGTGATGTCACCTGGTGGATAGCTTAGCCTAATGGAGATACTCCAACGGTCATTATTTCTTGTATTACTAAACATAATGGTAGTGTATCAGTAACGAGTCACGAGTAGTCACATGAGCACTTAGTAATGTAGAGTACCATAGGTCCTACGTAGTGTCAGGGGTCTTAGATTACTTGTATATAAGGAGCGTCGTCTAAGGCTTAAGACCTCAGACTCAACAACTTCGTTGATTCTTAGTATCTGCATCTCTCTCTACTTACACCCCTCGACTTCAAGTCCTACTCTTCAAGTCTAACAGTAAGGTGAGTATAGGAGTTGTGATAGTTTGTTGAGTTTAGCTACTTGATCGTAAAGCAATGCTTTACGTTTCTTTTCTCTTTGTACAGACGGGCCGGGGCACCATTCCACGGATGACCGGCTGTGTCGGAGTCTGTCCAGACACGGACGATTGGGTGGAGTCGTCGACTCACTCGATCATACACGTTACTGTTGTTATGAACGGTAGTTGTATAATCTCGACCCGCTCAGAGACACATGCGCTCTGAGGTGCTGACATCTGGCACACGGGAAGGATATTGTCGGGCCGTAGACGTAAGCGGCAGTGTTGAAACGCTCACACGTGGAAACATGTGACTGAGGACACGGGCTTAACACCCCCGAATGATTGTCGCTCACTCAGTACTTGTCTTCGGACATGTGGACAGGGAAAGTCATGTGGACACTTTTCGTGTTCTGGACCAAAGAGCCTTCTAAAGGAAGGCTTTCCTCTCTGCTCTACGGGTGGAACCGTGGAGAGATTCCATGCTGCATTCCAGCGGCTACACCAGTGGTAGTGAGAGAAACTACCCTGACGTCGACACAAAGAGATCAGACTCATGTCCTTTTCTATTCTACTCACTCAGCACTTAAGTTGAAAGAAGTGCTGATCCTTTCACCTCTATAAGGATGTTGTCACCCAATGCGCAGTTCTGGTATGATACTTACGGCATCTTTCCGGGGAAACCCTCGGATTATAGAGAACCCAGGCAAACTGCCAAAAGAAGTTATCACAAGAAACCTCGTCCACCACCTCAGGTGAGTCCTAAAGCTGTTCCCAAAGGGAATAGGCAGAGGGCTGCTAAGACGATGGTTTTGATTAACTTGGGGTTCTTCTAGTATGCCCAAGTACACCAGCAAGAACTTCGTCGTCGCCAAGAACGAGTCTTCGGGCGTTCCTCTTTTGGAACGTATTCAGCTTTCTCCCGAAAACGAACAAAAATTCAAAAACATCGGAAAACCTACAAAACGGTACCAACCGTACGCCAACAAGCCCATCGCTCGCAAGCCACTAGCACTCGAACGTCGCCTCGAGTTACTTGACGAGGCGAAGGAAGAAGCCCAACGACGTCAGCAAGCTGCTGACGATCTACTCAAACAACGACGCGCGGAAGCCAAGAAAATTGGTACGCGTCGAGCTTATGATGACCTTGTACGCTCATGCCCGGATCTCTTCGCGTCCGAGGGGGAAAATTTCCTCCTATGGATAAAAGAGATCGAAGAGACTTCAGCGAGCCTAACAAAGCTCAAATTCATGAAGAAGGGGATCCTTCGCCGTTGCGAGGAACTCCTCCCCACTCTCGTCGCCGTAAATAAGCGGTTCTTCGCAACGCACGACCATTTGGTTGATGCGGAGGAGCTCGCCAAGGCAGGAAAAGGGTCACTTGCTGCCGAGCAGGTGCATGATTTGCTGAAGCTCTTAGACAGGCTTAGCTACATCAAGGAGGTCGTAGAAGACAAAGAGCTCGACATCGTCGAATGGGGCAATACAGAGTGGAGGCGGATCAGCGGGCTTTGCAGGCGGTTGAAAAAGGTACACACAGAAGGCACAGACTTTTATGACATTTGTAAAGCACTGTTAGACGGGAACTACACTATACCGGTGCGGTTTAAAGCTTACAGTAAAGAGACAGATGATTTCGTCTGGTACAATGGTGTATAAATAGTTTTTTCCTTTGTTAAAATATTACGACGAATGTTCTTTGCACAGAAACAACATCGAGAGTTTATCTTAAGTCTTGAAAACTTAACTGGTATCTAATAAATAAACCAGAATATCTCTCCACAACACTCCGACTCCAGTTCAGTTCCGCGCACCTTCTCGCGCACCGTCTTGGGCCGCTCATGTACCCGAAGTACGACACTGGATCCCGTCCTTGCCATCGGCAATGGCCCCAGGAAACGAAAGTGATTTCCAAAGGGCTTTAGTTCAAAATGACGTAAACCTGGCCACCACTACGTTAGGCACAGGAGACGGCTTCAGAGTTCTTAGGAACTTAGCCGACTACACGTTCACACACGCGCAAAACACTATGCATTCCACCCTAAACTCGGTAGTACAATATGTGAACTACGAAGGAATGCAGTTAGACCAAACTCTGTCTGACATGCACAACGAGTTTACCAGCCTAAAAGATGAAAGTATTATGGCAATAGATACCGTCACCCGAATAAATACGGTTGTTGATACTTTGTCCAAACAAAATATGGATTATCTTGTGCGCATACAAGCACTAGAAAGACAATTAAAGGACTTGCCACAGAATACCGGAAATAATACGAGAAATGTCAAAATGCCAGAACCACCACTTTTCCAAGGAACGGAGAGTAAAATCACGTTGGATCAGTGGTTGGATCAAATTGCGCTGTACACAGCAGCCAATGGTGTCGTCACGGATCATCAAAGGATATTAATGGCCTTATCGAGAGTTCGAGCTCCAGCATCGGACTACTTGGCCGACTATTTCCAAAATATGCGTGAAAACAAAGGGCTAGGCACTTGGACAAACTTTGTCACAAATATCTCAAATATTTACGGACAAAAGGATCAAAAGGCTGGCGCCAGGGATGAAATAGACGCAATGTGGAAGAATACTTCACTCATCAAGAGTGACTTCCTCAAGTTTGCGGAACAATACAAGACACTAGCTCGACTAGTGGACTATCAAGATAGCTTGCACATTGAGAAGATCGAAGCGATACTTCCCAAAGAGTTAGTACAGGCTACCATTGAAAGACGTCTCAATAACAATTTGCCAACAACTTGGGACAAATATATCCAACACATGGCTAATATCTGGCGTGCTTTGCATGCAGATAAAATTAAAGAGTCAGTATTTGGAGGCAAGAAAACCTCGGATCCTAATGCCATGGAGGTGGATACCGCCGAACGTGCTAAAGGGAAAGCCAAGCAACAGGCGAATTTGCAGCAGACAGTTAAAAATACTGTCAACATTGTGCCAAGGATAATAAATCTAAGGCAAAAACACACAATACTGCGGATTGCTGGCTAAAAAACCCAGAAAAAGCACCAAAACGCACGGCAAAAACAGGATCACAGCAGACTACAGGAACTACGGCACCAAAGCCGAGTACTCAGACTGCGAGTAATAGACAAGCCAATCAAGGGCGGGGACATAACCAAGACCGATACCGTCAAATGCAAGTTCGCATGATGCAACTTATGACGGACCTCAACCAGTTGTCAGTGGATGAACCTCCATCAATCAAAGTGGCAACTACTGCGAGTATCGTTGAAATCGAAGAACCCGTCGCTTCGTCATCGAAGGTCACCTTGGACGATGAAACCAAGGCAAGGTTAGGCGCCAGTAAAAAACCCTGGCAGTCATATTACGAAAACAACGAGGATTTTCCAAACGCGCTCTAGAAGTCTGCGCTCTAGAGTTAAAGGATAATGATACCCATGTCGAACTAGCCCAGGAGGCTTGTACAGTAGCAAAGGATTCTTGTGTATTTAATACTGCTCAAAACAAGAAAAGGTCATTTAAAATTCCTATTGCACTGTGGGTATACGGCAAAAGACGCAGACCAATGCTCTAGTAGATTCAGGGGCCACAACAAATTTCATCGACAAACGGTTTGTTGAAACCAATCATCTGATCTTAAATAAGCTGGCAATCCCATTTAAAGTAATAAATGCGGATGGAACTCCTAATACGAATGGGCAAATAACACATTATGTTAAAGCCTACATGGTTGTAGGAGACCATGGAACCACGCACTACTTTTATGTCACCGACCTCGGCGATAAAGAAGTGATTATAGGTTACACGTATCTTGTCTCTCATAATCCCAATATAGATTGGAAAAGAGGACAATGGAAGTTCACCAGATGCCCTGAAACTTGTACCAACAAGAGAGTAAAACGAAGAGATTGCGAACTTGACATAAGCGAGTCTACACCGGAATTACCATGGGAAGCAGATCTGGACATTTTAGGAGCTGCAGACACGGATGTACCACATATAAACTGGATTGATTTGGAATCACCAGTTGACTGTTCACAAGCAGAAGTTATCGCGAATCTCCTAGACAAACCATTTGTCGGAGAATCTGAAGAAGATTTGGAAGACAAAGACACGAAGGACTGGAAATCTAAGGTTCCAGACTGGGTACATGATTATGATACCGTCTTCAGTAAGGTCAAATCAGAGCGCATGCTGGAACGTAAAGAATACGATCATGCAATTGATTTAGTGAAGGATGCTCCCCTTCCTAAACTGGCTAAAATCTATCCCTTGTCCGTCAATGAGCAAAGCTCTCTGAATATTTGGATCCAAGAGGAACTCCGTAAAGGATACATAGTACCATCGAAAAGTCCTATTGCAGCACCTTTCTTCTTTGTAAAGAAACACGACGGATCGTTGCGACCAGTAATGGATTACCAAAATCTGAATGCAGTCACAGTCAGAAATCGTTATTCTATTCCACGTATATCAGACCTAATAGATGCCTTGAGTAATGCTTCGATATTTACGAAGATTGACTTAAGATGGGGTTACAATAACGTGCAAATAAAGAAAGGAGACGAATGGAAGACAGCGTTCATTACAAAGCGTGGACTCTTTGAGGCCACAGTAATGTACTTCGGATTTTCCAATGCACCAGCAACTTTCCAATCCATGATGAATAATATCTTGGGCGACTTGATTCGTCAAGGAAAAGTCATGGTATATCTCGACGACATTCTCATATTTGGGAATGATAAAGACAAACATCGATGTCTCGTACAAGAAGTGTTGCGACAATTACAAGAGAATGATTTATTCGCTAAAGCAGAGAAATGTTTCTTTGAACGCGAATCCATTGATTATCTTGGAATGATCATATCTCACAAGTCAGTAAAAATGGACCCTAAAAAAGTATCTGGAGTTCTCGAGTGGCCACAACCCAAGAAAGTCAAACAAGTACAGGCTTTCCTAGGTTTTGCGAACTTTTATCGCAGGTTTATCAAAGACTTTGCGAAAATTAGCAAGCCGCTTACGGAACTTACCAAGAAAGATCAACCATGGGTTTGGAGTGAAGTACAAGAAACAGCCTTTCAAACATTAAAACAAGCGTTTACTTCAGCTCCAATTCTAAGAATTCCGGATGATAAAAATCCATTCAAATTATCTACCAATGCTAGTGACTTCGCTATCGGGTCAGTCTTATCTCAACTAGACCCTGAAGAAAAACTATGGCATCCAGTCGCATTCCACTCTAAGTCACTCAGTGTTCATGAACGGAACTATGAGATTTATGACAAAGAACTATTAGCTATAATAAGAGCATTAGAGGAATATCGACACTATTTGGAAGGACATCCGGAACAATTCGAAGTTTGGACGGATCATGCAAATCTGCAATACTTCCGTACCGCCCAAAAGTTGACAAGACGACAAGCGCGATGGGCTCTATATCTCACGCAATTTAACTATAAGCTACAACATAAACCAGGCAAAACAATGCAGGCCGAAGATCCTCTGTCCAGGAGACCAGATCATGAGGAGGGGGTAAATCTAGATAATGAGGACAAAATTCTGCTTAAACCAGAAGTTTTCACCAACTTCATGCAGACTTGTGCACTAGATCACCTTCATGCTGGCCTAATAGATGATGATTCTATACTCAGGAAGGTCAAGGAAGCACTGTTAGACGATGAAATGACGAAAGACTATAAGCAATTACTGAAATCTGGACCAAAAGAGTTTGGTAAAGAATTGCAAGATTGGAATTTCGAGAATGGACTACTCCTTCATCGAGGAAAAATCTACATCTCAAAGTCTAAAGACAAAAGTCTAAGAAGACAAATAGTCCAAATGCATCACGATCATATATCGGCAGGACATCCTGGTCGATGGAAGACATACGAACTTGTGTCGCGAAACTATTGGTGGCCAAGCATGTCTATATTCTGTAAAAATTATGTGTCAGGTTGTGAGACTTGTCAACAAATGAAAAATCGTCCACAACGACCTTTTGGCCCATTACAACCGAACCCCATACCAGCAGGGCCTTGGGAAATTATCACAGTCGATCTAATCACTCAGTTACCAGAATCTGAAGGTTACAATGCTATATGCGTTGTAGTAGACAGATTAACCAAGAGAGCACACTTTTATGCAATCACAAATGAGTTCTCAGCAAAGGATTTAGCAGAAGTCTTATATGACAGGGTTTACCTGTTACACGGTTTACCTCTGCAAATCATATCTGATAGAGGAACTCAGTTTGCCGCGGAACTTTTCCGTGAATGGTGCAAAAGACTTGGAATTAAATCATCAATGTCTACTGCGTATCATCCTCAAACGGATGGTCAAACCGAAAGAGTAAATCAATCTCTGGAACAATATCTGAGATGTTATGTGAACTTCAACTTAGACAACTGGTCACAGTTGCTAAGCACAGCAGAGTTCGCATACAATAACCTAGCTCACGAAGGAACGAAACATTCGCCCTTCTATCTAGAGTATGGACGACACCCAAGGATGGGACCTACACTAGTCAAAGATTCAGGAAACGAAGATCTGAATGACATATTACAGAAAAGACATGAGGCGCAAGAACAAGCCAAAGCTGCGCTTCAATTAGCTGCCGAACGAATGAAGTGGTATTATGACCTACAAAAACAAGTCGTACCATTTAAAGTTGGCGATAAAGCTATGCTTGACATGCGAGATTACCGGACTACACAACGCACGTTAACTCCACGTTATGCGGGACCGTTCGAAATTATAGAACGGATCATGCCTGTGACGTTTAAATTGAAAATGCCTAGTCAATACAGGGCAATTCATCCGGTTTTCCACGCAAGCAAGTTAGCCACCTACACTGAACCCATGCCGGGACAAAAGAAATCAGCTCCAGCACCAATTATAAAAGGTGGTCACGAAGAATTCAAAGTTGAAAAAATACTCCAACATTGTGTTCGTAATCGTAAAACGTACTTTTTGGTGAAATGGAAGGGTGAAAGTGAACAAGACGCCACATGGAAACCAGCAGAACACCTGAAACATGCTAAACGAATAGTCAATTCCTATTGGAATGACCCGTATGAAGCACGAATAATGGACACGCTGTCTATTCAGGAAATGGCAGTCTATCAAAGAGACTCCACTCTGCTTGTCAAACTACAACCAGGGGCAAAATTGCCAACTCGAGGTTCAGAAGAAGCCGCAGGCTTGGACCTATATGCTCTGAACAATGCCATAATACAACCAGGCCAACGTCAACTCATACCAACTGGAGTGCAACTACAACTACCAGTTGGCACATATGGACGTATCGCACCCCGAAGTGGCCTTTCAGTTAAAGGACTAGACATAGCAGCGGGCGTTATTGATAGAGACTACACTGGCGAGATACGAGTTTTACTCGTAAACAACAGTGACATCGCCTTTGAAGTAAAATCAAATGACCGTATTGCACAGTTAATAGTCGAACGGATAGCCCAGGTCGATATTGAAGTAGTAGGTTTTATTGATGAAACCACTAGAGGAAACAAAGGTTTTGGTTCAACGGGCAAATAACTCCTCTCCACGGAGCTCGAGTCTTAAGGCGGGGGTACTGTCACAAATTCGCCCCATACAAGCGCCTATTATATTCTTAGCGCTCATAATCGCGCTAAACACGATCACGTGACCTACATGGTCACATGCATATCACGAGACCTAGATCATCATATAGATATGATGGGATCAGTAGATAAGATAACTACAAGTCCAGAACTCGTTCTAGACCAGTCACATGTCATGACAACATGAGTGATGTCACCTGGTGGATAGCTTAGCCTAATGGAGATACTCCAACGGTCATTATTCCTCGTATTACTAAACATAATGGTAGTGTATTAGTAACGAGTCACGAGTAGTCACATGAGCACTTAGTAATGTAGAGTACCATAGGTCCTACGTAGTGTCAGGGGTCTTAGATTACTTGTATATAAGGAGCGTCATCTGAGGCTTAAGACCTCAGACTCAACAACTTCGTTGATTCTTAGTATCTGCATCTCTCTCTACTTACACCCCTCGACTTCAAGTCCTACTCTTCAAGTCTAACAGTAAGGTGAGTATAGGAGTTGTGATATCAAGACTACTTCATTGTGCTGCTCGCATACGTTCCGCACGCCGACCACACCGCTGAGACGCTGTATGGGACTTTCCCGGAGTTACATGGTATATCAGCGGGGTTTGGGGCGGTTTTAGTGCAGATCGATGGCAACTGGGGAGGTCGCCAGACGTGCTTGTGTCACATCGGCATCTATGGCATGGTCAATGAGGGACCCGCTGCCGTTGCTGTAATTCCATAGAATCTTCCCCGGGCCCGCAGTAATGCAGACAGAAAGCGTTGGAATATCTCTGCAAAAAGGCAGCACAGCTAGGTAGATGAATAGAATTCTGTTAAAATTTAGAGAAAAGGTCTACCGGTGGGCTGAAAATCAATAATACGCATGTAGCAGACAGGCGCATGCTGGCGCGTGGCGGGGCAGGTCTGACGGTCCTGAGCACTATTAACGGCACTGAGAGGATGCGCGGGCCGGCATCTGAGGGGCGCAGTCGTGTGAGCTGACTCTAGACGCCCTGAGTGCCCTGACGCAGATCTGACGCGACCTGACAAACCTTCGTCAGAGTGTTTCGGGGCCCGGGCGGTTTTCTGATGGCCTTCAGGCCACAAATGCGACCACAGAATTCCTTCTGGCAGGCTGTGCCTTCGAAATGCCATCGTACAGATGCTGAGCAAGCGTATACCAGGTCTTCGACAACGGCACCTTTGACGAAAGTGGCACGTTCCTCATCACCGACTGGCTCGCACACACCCCGAAGGAAGTCATCGCCAAGAACTTCCAGGCGCCCATCTCCGTCTTCAACGAGCTTCCGGGCGAGGAGCTCTACATCTTCCCTGCGGGTACGCGGATCTTTCCCCCATCTAAGGACCTGCTTAGACTGAACTCGCCAAACCAGCGTCCCCGGGCACCGACTTGGACGCGCCGGTGAGCCCGTATGGCACCGTGCTGAGCTCATACACGTTCGCGATGTCCCAGACGCCAGCGACTGAACTCTCGAGAGGATCTGTCAAGATTGTGGCCTCGCATGTGTTCGGTATCTCGAAGACGACGGCTGTTGCAGAGGTGGCGGTCAACCCTGGCGGGATGCGCGAGCTGCACTGGCATCCGACCCAGGACGAATGGACGTATTTCTTGTGAGTCGCCTGGTTACATATATTGCTGGTGCGCTCTTTGCTAAAGAAGTGTAATCAGGGAGGGAAATGCGCGTGTCACAGTGTTTGCATCCGAGGGCAATGCGGGGACGTTCAACTTCCAGGGAGGTGACACCGGTACGCGTTTATTGCAAGAAAACGCAAGCAAAAAGCTAATTAGAAGTTGAAACCAGGCCATATTCCCGTAGCGCACGGACACTACGTCGAGAATATCGAAAACACGATGCCCCGCTTCCTCGGGTCTTCAAGACCGCGACCTTCCAGGATGTCAGCCTGACTCAGGTACGGAGTCCGCTTCCTCGAGCGCGCGTTGATAGGAATATGCTCTGAGATTCTGTATTTGTAGTGGCTCGCCCTCACACCCCCCGCGATGATCGAGGTGATGCTTAACATCAAGGCCGAGAATCTCAAAAACTTCAGCAAGACCAACCCTATCGTCGTCGGTCCCGCTCCGGTCAACGACACCGCAAATGGCACCACGGTTGCCTGAGTGTTTGCTTTACGCTCGATTGCCATGGATTGAATGGCGATGCTTATTGCTGACTTCGCTCGGCGTGATGCCGCAGTCGTACCTTTCAAACGTGCTGTATGTCACATATGGCTGTGTATCATCTTCTAGTGTACTGTGTAGCTTGTACTGTAAATTGCTAATGATAAACCGGTACTATCCACTCGCTCCACTCTAACTGCACATCAAGAGCGAGATTACAGCAGCTCGAACCAACAAGCGTGAGTCTCGAAAATGCAGGCCCAGGCTGTTTAGCGTCTACTATTTCGACGCTATAGTCGCGATCACGTGCATATTGCGTTATCAATCCAGGAATACATGAACAAGCGCGCCTATAACGTCTTGACTCTGCGCCGGCGGTCGACCTCGACATCCTGTTAAATATCCCATCATCTAGAAACAGCTTGCCTTCGATATTCCGTTGACTTTTTTTTGGATAATTATGGAGTAATTTTTCCCCCGGCATAGTTCGATGTCGCTGACAGACATCTCCGCAACTCCTTCGAGTTCATGTCTTCCAGCACACCGGTATGGAAGCACATAATGCTCCAAATGCTTCCCCTGCGCCGTCGCCCACTTTTTGGACGAGCACATCGGCAAGTGCCACCTGCTGGCGAAGTACATCGGCAAGGACGCAAGGACGGCATTTTTAGCGGTGTCTTCGGCCACTCGAATGCTGTTCACAATGTGGGCACGGGCTCCTCCCCTCTCCCACAATTTTCTGACGTCGTACTTGTAGCTGCTGTCGATAAAGTGCGTCTGGAGCATGCATGGCAGCATCTAGCATGGCCCAGCAGGAAGAGACGACCTCACTGGTGCGGTGGCCCCGGGTTGCGTGGTATAACGAGCCGAGCGACAAATACCTCCGTCCAAGCCCTGAAGCATTTCGCTGCCATTCGCGAACTGAGCCTTGTTCCGGGCCCGCCACCTGTATTTCCATGCTACCTGTTCACACGCGTGCTCCTCGTGGGTTACACGGAACCCTCGCTCACGTCGAATGCTAGCATGCATCACGCAGTATTTGCTAACTTGGGTCTGGGATCTAAGCATCGACTCAGATTGCTTCTACTCTTTCTGCAACGCGGACGGCTCGCGCACGGTTTCCGTGGCGTAGCCATCGCTGACCCACAGCGTCCTCATCGGTTGTAGATTCCGTCGAGTGTTCAGTTTGCGCCTTCAACGTCGAATACTCGTATACCAGATGGCCTGAAGATAAGAAACTGTTCTCTTAACCCTGCTTTATTTCCCATGTCACATGTGTTCACAAAAGTCAGAGTCACGTGTGAGCAAGGTTTGGGCGGTTGTACCGGAGATTGTTCGCGGCCTCGTCCTTGCACGGTGCTTGCTCGCCACCCTGCCTTAGACCAAGCTGCGGCCCCAAAGGCCCTTGAACGACATATCCGTGCATTGTCTTCCTTCGAAGAATAGTATTCAAGCGTCAAGGTACCGGTTAGCTATACGCGCATTCGTTCGGCAACTCGAGAACACCGCATAGGTTGGAGCAAGCCACTCCCCTGGTGTGAGTTGCAGCACTCACGTCGTGCTCAACCTTGCTCATGAGAATGTGTAGGTTTCGGAGCAGGTCACTGGTGTATGTGCAAGCATGTCGTCGGTAGGCGACACGGTCGCTCTAGTTGTTGTTGTTACTTCAAGCTTCTTGAGCCTCGTGGTGGTGATTCAGGTTCGTCATCTAGGTATGAAGAAATTGCAGAGCTTATGAGTCGTGACAGGCTTTTACGGCAATTGTACATTCGAGATCTGGTCAGGAGAAGGAAGACGGCAGAGGTGCTGTTGACGACGTACAATCATCGGGATCCAGCGACCTACAGCCCAACGATCCACAATCCAGCTACCCACAGTCCAGCGACCCGCAACTCGGCGACTTCCTATCAGCAAGATCCAACAACCTGCAAACCGGCCACACGCAGCCAGTGAGATTCAGCGACGGTGATCTGCGGCTAGTGGAATCCAGCGACCCGCGGCCGGTGAGATCCAGCGTTGAGCATTTGTCCTACACAGACTCACAACAATTATGTTAGGCTTCTCAAGGCGTGGAACATCGGGGAGTAACGTGCCGCGGTTGCGGGAAATCAATCTTCGGCGTACGTCACAAGTGTGTGGAATGCACCGACTCCAACCTCTGTCAAGACTGCATATCGGTTGTGTCAATTCGTTTTGAACATAATCATACCCATACATTCTTTCCAATCGAGTACCCTTGGGACCACCGCTCATTCCGTGAAGCATCCGCAGTGTCATGCGACGTTCATCTCGGTGTCCGGTGTAATGGCTGCGGTCAAGTGCCAGTCATCGGCGTACGTCACAAATGCCTCTCATGTGACGACTTCAGCTTCTGCTCTACGTGTTTCAACATGGTCGAGAAACGCTCCACGCATCACGTCTCTCATGAGTTCTTTCCTATTCGAAGCCCAGGAGAAGAAGCGAAATTCCTTGCCGCACAACGCAGGGCTCACACCCCTCCGGTTTCCTTGGGAGACCACGGCGTACTCCTTCCCCAACGAAATCTGATGAGGCGCTCATCCTACGATAGCACCAGTAGACGTTCTGGTGGGGCATGTAGCCGATGCAACAGACTCCCCAGCGAGCACTGCTGCATCGACTGTGGTAACTATGAGCTTTGTACTGATTGCGTAGGCGATCCACAAGCTCGTATATCCCACAACCCTCGACATAGCTTTACCCCGCTGGAGTCATCTATGGCGCAGCTGGATCCTGGGCCGAATCCCTCGGAGCACGATGACGACGAGAGCCAGACCAAGTGTGGAATCTGCCACTGTCGCATCTTTCGCGTCCGACACCAGTGTTTCGAATGTCCTGACTTCTCGCTCTGTCAGCTCTGTATCTCGTCTGTTCGACAGCGCTCGGAGCATGGCATCAGACATCGGTTTTTCCCTGTCGAATATCCGTGGGATGTCGGTGCCTTTGAGGTGGTCTGTGCAGCGTTGAACGCAGTGCGCTGCCGAAGCTGTGGGATTGGGACCTTAGAAGTTCAACATAAGTGCCTATCATGTCCGGACTTCGTGCTTTGCTCGTGGTGCATGTCGGATCCAGACGTGCGTCTCATGCATGATCCCGAACACCCATTTTTCCCATACGCATCGCGCTCCGGTGTCGAAGTCGCCAAGTATGAAGCTAGGCGTCAACGGTTTGCCGCGTACAAGAATTCTGGTGTGCTGCTGGACTCTGGTTCGGAAGGTCGCAGCTCCTCTGATGGCGTGAGTTTGTCTAGCTCAGTCTGGGATGTTGATGCTCATATAGTGACTCTTGCTTCCTAGCAAAGTGAGTCTGCGGCTGAACCTATGCAGGTGTGTTTTAACAGCTATTAATTTTGTTCGCTCACTAACACCAAGACCCGAATAAAACTCAGCCCGCTACAGAATACGAACCATCGGTGCAATCGAGGGTCTTCTTCGAGCTATCAGGGACGTCTGTCTGTTTCTCATGCGACTATATCCCGTGGCCATGCACTGCCCCGCTAGTGACGATCCCTGAATTCGTGGATCGGCGGGTCGAGATACTCAGAGTGTTGGAAATGGCGAATAGAAATGAAGACACCCAGACCTCAGCCAATCAACGCAACAGGACCATCATCTGGGGCTTAATCCAGATGGTCACCTCCGGCATTGTGCCTACCTACAACCTCTTCCAGTCTGAGTGCTCGAATGCAAGCGAGATATACACTCTTACTCCTTCCACTCCTTCCACCGTCCCTCTCCAGTGTGTACACATTGGTCAAGGCGCGATACCTAACACACTCGCCGATATCCCTTGCGACCGCTTATCAATCGACGATCTGCTCGCCGAACTCAACAAAATCCTCGGGACATCATACACGCTCGACACCCCAGGTCTTCATGACTTCTTGGACTACGCGCTCGGCACTTCGCATGATTTTGGGGAGGTGTACGGCACACTACGCAGTCTACGCTTGGAGTGGTCACACTGGCGGCGACCTGAGGACTCTGCTGCAGCACTCGCCGAGATGAAACGTCGCCGCCATAAGATCCAGCAAAGGCGGAACAAAGCCATTCGCGGTCGCTCTGTCCAGGACACTCAGATTCCTCCTCGACGTGTCTGGGATCTGTACAGCAACCGAGTCCTCCCATACCATGTCATGCCTCCGACAGAGTTCGAGTTTATTGACTTCGTGCCTGATGAACTATGGACAGTGTCACACAGCTGGGTACACGCACAAGAGCGCGAGGATATCATGACCCCAATCAATGGATGCCGATGGCCTGTTCCGCTTCCCCGCGGCATATCACTCGACCACATCCGCATCGAGCTACTGAACATGGGCGCCGAGTACGTCTGGCTCGACGTCCTTTGTTTATGGCAGGAGGGCATCACGGAGGACGACAAAGCTCGGCTGGAGGAGTGGAAGCTCGACGTACCCACCATCGGCCACATCTACCAAGCCCGTCCATACGGCAGGCCGTGCGTCACATATTTCAACGGCTTGGGCTTACCGCTCGATCCATCACCAGCGGTCATCGAATCGGACAGGCACTGGTTCAACCGTGTGTGGACCTTGCAGGAGACGCTGCCCAATTGGATACCTGGCGGACTCACTGCGGTACCTCACTCCGATAGTCCGAGTTTCTTTTCTCACCTGCAGAACCTCTTGCGAAGCCTGTCGACTCAGAGTCACTTTCAGAAGAGTTTCGACGCTCCTCGAGCTATGGCGAAACGCTATTGCACCACAGAACTCGACAGGATCGCCGGAATTGGTTATTTCCTGCAATGCCCGACGCTACCGCTCTACGATCGATCGGCTTCCTTGGAGTCTGCATGGGCATTGCTCATCAAGCACATGGATGCACAGCAGCTGACACGGCTATTCATCCAATACGAGTCTGATGTGCCGTTCGGACTCTTTGTCTCATGGGCAGGGTTTTTAGCATCCCGACCGGCGCTGCAGTGCTCGTGGCAGCTGATGGATCTTCTAGACCCTCACACGAATAAGCTAGGGCAATATTTCCATGAACCGCTTGCCACCACGCCCTGCTACATTATATCCTCACCCGGCGACACACACCAGGACAGCGGACCACAAGCACTCCAGCTCCACTTCTACAACCGCACTGATCCTATTACCGTGCAAGTCTCCACTACCGGAACGCATGGATGCCTTGTCCCGAATGTTCCGTATCGTCTTCTTCACATCGGAGGCTCGGGGATATTCTGGGCTGTAGTTGAAGTGGTCGGAGAGCGAGGCCGGCGGGGCGAGAGGACTCTTGAGGTGATCAAGTGGGGTATGATTCAAATAGACAGGAGTGAGGGCTGGGAATTCAGGAAGCTTGGGCTAGCGGCAGGACGTACAAAAGTGGTGTATCTGTCGGGTAAGGATGCTCTGGCCAAGAGCGGGCACGTCGATAAGTACATAGAGGCATTCAACAGGGCGAGGAAGAATCTGCAGGCGGAGAACAAGTCGTAGTGTATGTAGCTATACACAACAAGTATGTACAGCACGAGTTTCGAACCTATGGATCGCACGACAAGATCTATCATACTAGCTACAGTGTCCAAGTTGTGTGGGCCCATCCACTCTCTTTTACCCGCCTCTCTTTTACCCGCCTCTGACCTCAGGCTGTCTGTCGCCGTCTCGATTATTGTGTCCGTCAGCGAGCCAGCCCTGCATTTTTAGGCGAAGGCGTACTAGAACGACCCATGGACGACGAGTTTCGGCTTGCGCGTGCTTTTGATTTGCGAAGAGCCACGGCAGACTGCCGACCAGCGTGCTCTCCGCGCGCTTCGGGCAGCGAACTTGAATGAGAGCGTTGTGTGACGGAGGCGACTCGAGCGTGCGAGAAGGCGAAGCAGTTGTATTGCGCAACATACAGCCAGGTACATGTAGAGCATCAGATAAATCTGGATTGTAACCCGACTGAACATCTACCGTACCCGCAATACCCGAACTGCGTTAGGGAACTACTGCCGTCCCTTCCTGTCCTCCTCCGATTTGCCTGCCGACAACTGGATGACTGTAAATATGTTGCCATGAACCAGACCCTGCATCTATGTCCCAGCTGGCCACCTGTGCGCGGGCGACGGAGACGTTAAATGTCAAATTAGCTATACATGACCGCCTTCCGCATGTGCACATCCCCAAGCAATCTTGTAACGTTGGCCGTATGGCACTCCTCCCGGAAGCTTGCCAGCTCAATTGAGCGAGACCAGACCTTCATCTGGTCGCGCAGAGCGTGTTCCGCCTTGAGGACAACGCGGAGGTGGACATAGTAGGCGGCCGAGTCGGCATGTGGGTCGAGTTAGAGCGCATACTCTTCCTCTGAGAAACACCGCGTTAGGCTCTCAACCAGCGCACTCCACGGCATCGGCCCAGCGCGGACAGCGGTATCGTGAAGCCACGGAACCTCTCCACGCATCCGGGAACAAGAGACGCCGACGGTGAGCTCACCGTGCAGGGACCGAAAATACGGTGCGCGCCCACGCGAACGTCGGTGCGGGAAAGTGTGGAAGATCAGCGCTCAGCTCGTACCGTGAGACGCCCTGCCGCGCAGGGCAGCAGTGTTCGTTCTCGCTCTTCTCCTTCGTGACATGTTCCTGCTTGCTCCTTAGTCAGAGACGCTCGCCCTGCCATTTGCCTCTCCACCTAGATATCCCCGCGCAAGAGAGTTCCGTACACACGGGGTCGATGCCTCGTCTGCTGATGCTTCTATCCTTCCTCATCGCGCCACCGGAGATCAGCTTCTCCCCCCATCCGGGGCATGCGAATCTAATATTGCAACCAGTTAATGACCAATGTTTGAGTGCGAAGGCGATGGTACAAACGTTGGAGTTAAAACTGGTATGCCGGACGAGACGTTGATAGGCTCACTTCAAGATTCCTCGCTCGCCGGATCCACTATTGCAGAACCTAAAGAATGTTTTAACATGGGCCCAGGACGGTGATTGTCAAAGTGACTTACGCGATTTCTTCACTCTTGGGTCTCACTCTACTTATCTCCCAACACGATACTCTCCCTCTAGCCTTGCCTCTACCGCGGAGTGGGCCAAGCACTGGCGTTACCGCATGGAGGATCTTGACGGCGGAGTAGTGGCTGGCGAGGAAGTAGCAGTGTGCCACGCATGCTCAACCTACGTGGCAGCCGCGAGGTCCAGAAGCAGAACAGGGCTAGTGGCGGCTTTAAGACGTCCCCATTTGATAGCGTGCTGGCAGGATGCAGTGCCTGCAGCTCGCTGGAGTTGAGAGAACGGGCTGCAAAACGCAGAGATGTCGGAAGGTATGTACATTGAAACCGAGCTCTTGGCCACTGTGCTTAGAAGATCAATAGACACTATGGGCGCAATGTGCCAGTTTCATATGGAGGAGGGACAACTTCATTCGAGATGGCAAATCTGAAGCGTTTCAGTTCTCGACCATGCCCAGCCAAGACGTACAACGCACCTCATTGCTTGTACTTGCATGTGTTCGTAATAGCGGATCTACAATTCAAGCCCCGCAGAAACCCTTCCCTAGCACGCAGCTGGCGAAGAGATGTCTTGTCCAAGACTCGTTCGACTTGTGAGATGCAGGGTATAGGTGAAAAGCGCCGTGTATTCGCCAGTAGCACCTTGGCTGGTGTAGAGATTACCGGCCGGGACCTTATGTAGTGTGCAAGTCGGAGAGACATCGTGGAATCAAAGCATGGATATCCTGAGCGCGCCCTGCAACGGAGGTCGATAAGATAAACACGTGGCTTGATCCCGCTGCTCCACGATGTTTATCTCTTCCCTCTTTCCTCCTCCTCCTCCTCCTCCTCCTCCTCTCTCTCTCTCTCCAAAAGCTCTCTGTTCTGTCTTCCGTCGTAGGGACGTGAACGGCATCGCTATCATTGGAGCTGAAAGTCTATCAAGGAAGAGGATTTTCCGGCGGACATCAATATTACTGACAGCCATGCACGAACACTCATCGATACCCTTCACAATCCGCACGCCCTTGCATCTGGGCTGATTCCTCAGCAAGTATTGGGCATGTGTATGTACTGGTTATACTTTGATGCATAGCATAGCAAGCAATAGGGACTGAGAAAGCTGCTATACATTGCTCCATGTTATCGTCGATAAGCTGAGGATCCTTCGACAAAGGTAAGTTTCTAGACAAATGGGCTGCCCCTCACATGCTACCACCGTGCATCAACAGCGTGCTGCATTTTCTTACCGTTCATCGTCGACGTCTTGCCATTCATCATTGACAGCAGTGCACAGCTTATTCAGTGACCCTTAGCATGCTGCAGCTTTCGTACGTGGCCCTGGCTTCTAACCGCAGCATGGCATCGGTTTCATTTCCAGCGCAGATCGGAATCTAACTCTTTATGGGATTAGGATTTAATGAAATACCGCCTCCGCTTCCACGCAAGTACCACATTGAATGCACGTGTGAAGCATTGGAATAATCTAACACTGCAATAGGATACTCTTGTTACTTCTGTCATCGTATAATCACACAAAATGCGGCTGCTTGTGCCGAAGATAGTCTGCCCGAGCTGGTCTGAATTTGAGTCAGTTGCGGTGTCCTAAACGTTTGATCCGATAAACTTATCTCGCTACCTTCTTCCTTGGGGATATATAAATGGTACCTGTGCCGGGGATTGCGCACGCTCACTGCTTACTTGCCCCTCATGCTTTCGATACACGACAATTCAGAAGACTCGAAGCATTTGTGCGACTACGAGGACTATGACGAGAATGCTTCTGACGCAGCCGACTGGTCCGATGAGTCTAGTGATCTTGAGGAAGACGAACGGTCCGAAGAGGAAGGCGTTTCCGTCTCAGAAGAAGCCGATGGTGCCAACCCATCCAAGGACAACGAGGACCGTACCCTCGTCGAGGTCCCTCCTTCGCATGTTACCTTTCTCGACAGTAAGCTTTATTATCTCGGAGACGTTCAAGCCGAGTTGAGCTATGCGATGTCTACCGCAGTTCAGGCACAGTTCGAGAGTCAGTGGCAACGCACGCCCGTGCCTCCCAAAGTCCACAAGGCAAGTCCTGCATTTGTTGAGCATCCTCCCCGATGTCGACCACCTCTTCCCCCCAGATTTACAGTATCACATGCAGCAAACAGCACATTGCAAAGTTCGATCGTTACCAGTAAGGTTGTATGTCTGGTATTGTATAGCACGAACTCAAGGTTGGGTGGTAGGGCTGAGGTGGGGCAGCGTATTGGATTAGCAAACAGGAATATAGTACGCTACTGGCACGGGACGACTCGCGCATGTCGCGTTGGAGACAATTCGTCGCGACTGAACCCTTGTTCGAGCAGGGATTGTTCGCTCTGCAGTATTATGAAAGCATGTGCAGAGTATCTTATTGGAGCTACTGCAGGCCTACTGACTGCGCGATTCACAGTGGTCGTACAATCTACCGGTGAGGAAGGCCTACGCACGCTTTGGCTCAGGGATCTATACGTCCTCCACCTCATCGAAGGTGCGTCGCGTCTGAGTAATCCTTGTAGATCATTTGGTCTTACTACAGCTGCTCAAACAGGCCTTTGACTACCACAGGGAACTCGGAGGATCTAAATATGGCGCTTTACTCCTCAATGAGGTTGTCGCGGGCAATCCACTGTGCTTGACAGACAGCTGCCCAGATTTCACACAGGCCAGTGCTATAGATTTCGTTCATGTCAATGCCACTATACTTAGGCGTGGCATAATAGCTACCATCGGGCTACGACTCCGTGCAAGTTATCCCCGGAAGATCCTTGGTCTACGATGAATATGTCGGTGCGTCCTGCTCCCTTATGATTGTACTGTATATACTTACTCTTTTGGGCACCAGTTTACACGGTAAGTAGGCGTGTAAATCGGTTCCAACTTCGAATTATGCACTGATATCAACGAAACAGGAAGCGGCGATTAGGCCGGTATATCTTGTCCTTTGCAAGTGATCCTCTGTAGGCAGCGCAAACTACTTCCTGCTCTCGGGCCATGGTATCAGATCTTCCGTATCACCTATGTCTTTCGCAAGTAGAGCCAGTAAACTTGTGCAACCATGCTCGTGGGAGCGAGCCTCCTGCGAATGTATATATTGAGAACTGAGTAGGTCGTAGCTCTGTCGTACTAATATTCCATGAAATACAGTGGGGTATAGACCTAGATTTGACCATCACAGATTGTAGCTCTCAGTGTGCAGAATGCTGTACTTTCAGGTGCCTCTCCGGGCCTTCAAGGCTCTGCCGTTATTCTAGAGCTTCACTGCAGCGGGAATTGACCTATAGCGATGAAAGGCTTGCAATAGAGGCTCCTTGAGACGACATGGGTGGATAATAGCGCGCAGCTGGCGAAGAAATATCTTATACAGGTGAAAAGTGCTATCCATTTATTGCCAGTGCCTTGGTTGGTGTAGGGATAATCGGGACCTTAGCGTACGAATCCGAGTCAAGGTTTCGTGGAATCAGAGCACGGATTGCATGTCGGGGATCGATAAGATAAATACGCGGCTTGATCCGGTTCAGCTGCTTGGTTCGCTACGGACCTCTCTTCTCCATAACCTCTCTGTTATGTCTTCCATCGTTGAGATGATCAACCCCGCTGACAGACTTGTTACCTCGACACTCAAATTGCAGCCTCTGTACCCATTCACTCTTGATCAGCGCTTTGAGAACAACCAGTGGTTAAGCCTCAGCACCCTCACCACTACCCTTACCGTTGCAATCGATGACCCCTTCGCCATCAGATGCAGAGGCAAAAAAAAATCGTCTGAGGTGTAATCTGTTACTTTATAACAGGTCTCGGTGCGTTGCCCTGCCGCTTTAGGCCCCTCTCTTGTGCTGAACCGTTGCAGCTACGTATTACCGCTAACAACCGCCATCCGTAGGTGCACCGGTCCTATAAACCCTCGAAGCCTCTCAGGCACTTCTTTGCGATCGCGGGCAAAACTATACTCCAAGGCTCGACCAAGTGGTGGTAGTGGTGCTGCTGTCCTCGTGCCCTCCGCCGCTACACAGACACCAACATTGGCATTCACAATGCGCACAAGGGCCTCTGGCACCTTGGCTGGACGATTGTCAAGCCACGATATCAGCTCTATGTGGCTAAAGTCAGTGACCTGAGCAAGGACCCTGTCATTCAGCGGCAACACCCGCGGTACGTCTGGTTGCTCCTCGGCTGCGGTTCGGTTTTGCCTACCATGGTTGTCGGGTTTGGCTAGGGCGGCTAGACGAGCAGATTCTAGTTCGCGGGTACTGCTCGCTTGTGCTTTGTTCACCTCGTACGCGACTCTACCTTTACATGCATATATGTACATGTTTAACTCCTGCCCAGTCTATTTTCGTCACCGCATTCGTCACCGTCGGCGAAACTACGATGACTTCTATCTCCAGTTCCCGATAGACCATGGAACGCGATTAGATGGTACAGGTACAACCCAGTGAAGTGGTTCATCTAGGTGTGCGCGGAGCTCGGGCTCGTGAGCCGCCTGAAGATCTCTCCCGAGAGCGGAGTCAAGAAGGGCTGGCTGCCAACCCAGCTCAAGTGACTACGAGCAACACAGGACGACTTCGTATGGGAGCCGAACGTGCAGGGACTGCTGCTGATTAATTGGGAGAGCTGTGCGTCTAACCACGATGTTTTGCACTACCCGGCGACGTTTATTAATGCGCATACAGTGCGCTCGTCGTCATTGCCAGCTTCGTCCACAACATCGTCAGCCTCGGGTGTGCGCCATCTGCCGGTGAAATACATCAGCAAGGACGCGACGACGGCGTTCTTAGGCAGGGCCTTCGGCCACTCAAAGGTGGCACACGACGTGAGCATGACTCACATCTATCGCCCGTGTGATTTTGCTGATATCGAAGTCATATTTGCTGTCGATGAAGCGCGTCGGGATCTTGCACGGTGGCAAACAAGCACGGCCTGCGAGACAAGACGGTCCCGCCCGCGCAGCGGCTCCGCATTGTGCGATGCAACGAGCTTGACGGCTCTCCGTACTACTCGTCGAGCGCGGTCTCGGGGTAATGAGGGCATGTTCGGCTAAGCTGCGTTCTTATATACTCTTGTAGTTCGTTCCATGCATACGGGTCGTGGAGCTCGTTTACTCGGACCACTGTTATTGTAATATACATGGGTCACACACTCTGCTAAGTGGTTCACGTTCGGCGGAAATGAGTCCACAACACAGGTTATCCGGCTAAGGGAATGACAGGACAGGTCGCATATCGAAGCTTACGACCACAGGTTCGTCCGCTTTAACGAACTCGACGTCGTCTTCTGCTGCCCGGTATCTGCTGTTCCCTGCACGATAACATCGCCCAGTCCAAGGAATTGGTCAAAGAGATAGTCGTCCTTGCCATACGCGTAAACACCGTCGCCAGCCTCGGTGGCCATCTTGTTGAACAGCTTCAGGAGCGCACTGTAGCTGTCCAGCACACGCCTCGGCTTACCCACCTTCGACGCCTGCAGCCTTCGCTTCTGCTCTGCAGCCTGCACCACCGGCAGCGGCTCGTCGTCATCGTCGCTGAGATCCACAGCAAGTTTTTGCACGATGGATGACATCGCACGGGGCCTAAACTGCCGCATCTCCTTCGGACTGAACGGCGCCTTCACGGAGTACGGCTTGAGCGCCTCAAAATCGACCGCGCTGTAGTGCTCCCGCAAGAGCACATACGCGTCGCGGAGGAACCGTGCCAGAACTGAGTCCTCGTTCAGTAAACAGATTGGCGGTTTGCCGTTCTCGATGAACACTAGCTTTTCCTTGCCGCCGATGTAGCGGCCGTCGGCACAGCACAGCTGCTCGTAGAAGAACTTGTTGATCTGCAAGGCAAGCGGCTTGTTCTCGTAGTTGGCGCACTTGATGTTCTTTGGCGTGCATTCCAGGTCATTGAGATTCGTCGAGTAGGTGTGCTGGTGAAAACGGTAGGCCATCATGAGGATGACGTAGATGAAAGACTCCAGATCGTCTGCGACCTCTGGTGGCTTAGTGGGATGCGTCAAAGTAAGAGCAGATAAATAAGCCCAGGTGCCCTACCATGAGAAGCAGGCAGTCAGCAAGTCGACTCGTGCGCGAAGGCATCGTCTGGTACTTACCGAGAAGCCAGCCTTCTCTCGAGCCCGATTCCCGAAGTCTTCTTTGTACTTGCACAAATCCCAGTCGTTTAAAAAGGCCTCATTTTCGCGTACATTTATCATAATGTTGTTCGCGCTGACATCCCGGTGGAGAATGCCTGCCTTATTCCAGGCCTCCATATGACCTAAGATCATGCGTCAGCCGCAGATTCTCAACGCGCTACAGACATACACACCGATCACTGCATATGTGCACGCCTCAAAAAGTTGAACGGTGTCTGCGTACGCCTCGAGGGGCTTCCCGACCTCCTCGACGACGAGACGTGTGTGGATGCGCATGAGCGCCGGCTGCTTCGACGGCGGCGCTAGGTACCTCTGTGCCTTCGTGTACTGGGGACTCCGCAGCATGCCACAGACGTCGCCGCCAGCGATCGGCGTTGCTATGCAGCGCACGCCGTTCTCGTGTAGACGCATATAGACATCGAGCTCGCTGCGCCGGACGCTCGAGCGCCACTGATCCTTGAGGAAGCAGAAGTCCTTGCGCCAGAGATCAAATGCGATATAGCCACGCGTGCAGCGACCTATCGGCGCGCCGTGCCCTGCGGTGAGCTTGCCAATGAGGAAGGCCCTCTCGGAAGGCCCTGCCTCGTCCTCCTTCGGTTCTGTGTTGTCGCTGCGACCAGCACCACGACTGCTATCTCCGTCTTCGTCTTCATTTTCAGCATTCTTATCGCGCTCTTTCGGCTTTCGAGGACGAACTGCAGGACATGTAACCTGACCACAGCGTTATTAGTTTCATCCTGCGCTGCACACCGGAACGCACCTTGTAAATGGGATGGAACCGCGTATTTTCTAGCATATCGCTACGAGCCCTCTGGAGGTCGTCGTTCTCAGAGGTATAATCTCTGAGCAGCCGAATGTCGTTCTCAGACGCTCTGGTAACCGTCTCGTCGTAGCCCGACAATCTGTCTGGGAGGTTTCCGAGGCAGTAGAGCAGGTCGTAGAAGTCGTCGGGGTTGTCGACGAGGTTGACGGCGTCGGTCATAACACAGCCAGCCTGGTCCCAGCGAAACGCGCGAATCCACTCGCCCGAGATGTAGAAGCTTATGACGTGCAGCCGGTGCTGACGTAGCATGATTTGCGCCGCATACTTAGCATGCTGCGCTCGTGCTTTGTTCCCATTGTCCGATTTATGCAAGCTCTCGGCCGCCGAGCGGGGTATGATCTTCTCTTCCTGCACCGCGGCGGGGGGCGCCATCTCTACAGCCTCTTCGGCAGGCGCAGCTGCAGGAGCGGCGCTTTCGGCATCGTTTCTGGTAGCAGCCCGTGTTCGGGGCTTGCTTGGTTGTCGTACACCGGCGACCACCTTGGCCTTCTGAGGATGGGTCGCCACAGCCTGAGACGTCGTCTGTCCACCCTTCCCTTTCCCGGAACTAGCTTTCACCTGAGGCTCTTCATGCAACTCCCCCGCGCCTCGAGCGTTCTTTGCCTTCTGTCTTTTGTTCGCCCGAGGTTGGTCGGGAGGCTTGAAGGAGAAGCCTGCCTCAGTGTCGTCCGTTTTGACTTCGAGAGGCGCAATGATGTAGGCCCACGCACAGCGCGCGGCGTCGGGGTGCTTCTTTAGGTCACTCGGCGATAGCCCATAGGCCTTCTGAGCCTCTGGATCGTCATCGCCGGCGTACAGCGCGAAATCGGGCTTGCTGTCGAAAGCGCCGTTCTCAACATGGTTGGCGGTAATCTTAAACCTTGCCTTCGAGCTGGTCAGACTGAGGACAGAGTTGAAACTTTTGTGCTATTCCGCAAAAAGTCAGAGAAGATAGCTTGCTACGAGCGAAGGTAGGACGCACGATAATGGGATACATCGAGCTCTCAAGTCTCCGTCCAGGCTTGGGTTTGGGGCCGCCAGTAACCACCGGCGTTTTGCCCTTTGGCACGCCGCCGCCGCTGCCGGAGTCTTCCTCCAACGTGTCCCCTACGTCGCCGATGGAGTCGTCGTTCTCCTCGAGCGAGAAATCGCGTGTGTCTGCGGGGGCCGCGGCACCAGCACCCTCCTCGGCACCCTCTCCACCCATACGAGATGGTCCAGCAACGGGCGCTCCATCCAACGGTGTTCCTCGATCTGCTGCCTTAGCCGTAGCGGCTACCGCAGCCTCGCCGAAGGTCTTGTTCTTCTCGCGGGTAGCGACAGTTCGCGAGACGATGCCGCGGAGTGGCTCAATGCTGACGATTCGCTCCCTCTGCGCTGCAGTGAGGCAAGAGCCGGGGACGAATTTCCTTCGGAATTGCTTCATCGTCACCAGGACGTACTGCGAATCCATAATCTTGTTGATATGTTCTTCGTAGGCCTTTCCCTTGAACGGGCTCTTGTTTGGTAAGATGAGCGGACGAGGAGGGCCGCGGTTTCTCTCCGTGTTCTGGGAGCACTGGTCGACTTTTCCTTCGTCGTCGTAGATAACGCCGTTGTAGGTACGAAAGTAAATGAGTTTGTCGCGTTCCAAGGCTTCAATCTGACCGCGAAGGGCTGGATCTAATTCAAGCAGCTTGTTGAGGTCGGAGAACGAGGGCAGAGCGAAAACAAGCTCCTCGTCGTCGTCGTCGTCGATGTCTGCGTCCAAGTTTCCTGGACCGGGTTCGGTAGGAATCTCTGCGGGAAGGTGAGGCTCCATGGCAAGGTGTGGGGGTCAAGGGCACGCACGAGCTCCGTGTTCTATAGTCCTTGACAGGGCGGTGCAAGGGGCGGTACGACAGGCACGTGAGTACAAAAGCCTGCCTGATAAGATGATTGGCCGTCCTCGTGCACGCTCTGCCGTCGGCAGTACAAAAGCTGGTTGCCTACAGCGACAGTGCGCTGCAGTGACCAGTTACCTTATTCAACGCTGAACTTTCTAGACGCCTGCAGGAAGCGCTGATACCGGCGTATGCCGCCCCTTCTGCCGTGGTAATCTCAGATTAGCACGACCACGTGACCCGTGAGATTTCCCCGGCTAAACTTCTGACCACCAACAGTAACCTTTGCGTGATTTAAATTCATCTTTTAGTGCTAACGAGCTTCATAAGGCTCAAGCATTCGACGATACAAGCTCAAGTTACGTTCACTCACGGCTCTGCTCAGCAGATCCAACGGCGTTTGAAAGGCCGCGAGTACAATACCATGAGAACGTTCTCACGAGATGGCACGGCAGATAGAGAGCGTAATGACACCGAAGGAAAATACTCAGAGTATAATTGGCTCGTGAAACTCGTGACGCTTAGATCACGAATTAGTGGTAAGATACCCCAGTTGAAGCCAAGAGTTAGCAGAGGAAGACGAACGTTTTGCCCATCTTGGCTTCCAACAACAAATCAGGCCTCGGAGAACGAGATTCACTTTTTCCAAATGCAGAGCGCACCTACAGTGGCCTAAGAAGCGTCGCGTTGCGAAGTCAACGTGGGACTGAACAAGGTCGAACACGAACAATGTACCAAAATCGCTATTGTTCCGTATTAGCTACTCACCAGCCCGTGTCTTCGGTTCCACCACCTCGATGAGAATCTTAGACGTAGACGTATGGAAAAGGTCTGCATCACAAAAACGTGAGAGACGAACGTTGCCGTGGGAGTGCATGGATTGGTAGATCTGAGAAGGCGCACAAAGCGAACGATCACGCTGCTTCCTTTGCTCCTATGCTTGACGATGCTTAAGACACATTTCATCGAAAATCTACAACTACAGCCGCATCACCGTCCAGTCTAGATAGACGCGCGTACTTACACTCGGAACAATACCCTGAATTTTTGAGGATTTTGTGTGCTGCCGCCGTTCGTGTCGCCAACTCAACGCGAGACAAATAGTTCAAGGATAACACTATTGCTTATTCCAACGTCTGTACGGGTAGATGTCATGTTCGCAACACAACGAGAATATATTCGAATACATGCTACGAGATGGTTTCCAGATATTCCTATTGCCACATCAGGACCTCTCAGCAATTCCACAGAGGTGACACATACCAGAATACAACGCGCTCTCGCCTCCGCTCGGGAACGCAGACATCCGCTACGCGCCCACCCTCCCGAGACCCTTCTCCGCCAGCTCACGCGCCCAAGCCCTCAAAACATGCTTCATCACCTTCCCGCTCGCCGTCTTCGGCAGCCCCATGAACTTGCGCACGCCCCCAACATCGCTCTTTTCCTTCTCCTCCCCGCGCGAACGCACCTCCTCGGGGAGCTCGCTGACAAACCACATGTACGCTGGCGCGTTCTGTCCTTACTTTGTTAGCAAAGCAACATGATAGTCAGGGAGCACATAGGAAACGCGACACCTGCAGGTTCATCCCCTGCGCGACGACCTGCCTCATGTCCGCCGCGCTGAGCGCCACGCCCGCGGGCGCACTGGGCTCGCGGAGGACCCACGCACTGACGACCTCGCCGAGGCGCGCGTCAGGCACGGCAACGACAGCGGCCTCGTGGATGCCGGCGTGTGCCGTGAGCACGTTCTCGATCGCCACCGGAAAGAGGTTCTCGCCGCCACAGATGATGATGTCTTTGATGCGTCCGACGACTGGTGGGGGCCAAGAGAGGTGTGTAGGGGAAGGGGAAGGGTGGGTCAGCGAGTGGAGTGGTGTGAGTGGGGGAGGCACGCACTTCGGAGGTAGCCGTCCTCATCCATGACGCCTTCATTGCCTGTGTGCATCCAGAGCGTACTGTTTGCGTCGCGGCGCATCACCTGTGCGGTCTGCTTGGGGTCATTCCAGTAACTATTTGCCGGCATATCCAGTCATCCAGCGATATTTAACATGCGGTGTCGGAAGCGGACGGATGAGAGGGAGAGGAACGGCAAGCAAGCAAAGTGACAAGTAAAATAATAATTTTAAGATTGAGCTAATAAAATATAAGACGGGAGAGACGGACGTACCCAGCCTGGAGAAGATACCCCGAGACAAGCAGCTTGCCAGGCATTCCAATGGGCATGATTTCATCAATTTTGTCCTGGTGTGCACCCTCGATAACATGTTTTCTACCGACAGGCGTGTCAGCAAATGCTAGGAGAGCACAGGTCCCGAACAGCGCGATGTACCTATCCGCCGCAATAATTTTCGCCTTCACGTGAGGATGCACGCACCCCACGCTCTCGACACACATAATGAGTGGGTCACTTGGCACGGTCTGGAAGGACACCAGACTGGGTGCGTTCCCGATCAGCCTCTGCGCCTCCATGCTCGCGCAACGCGCACTTACCTCGTCTCAGCTATGACCATCCGCAATCAGCAACGCGAGACGAGGATGAAGGGAGAGAAAGACACACTCATGCCATACGTGATCGTCAGCTCCGTCAAGTTCAGCTTCTCGACGAGCGTCTGCATGAGCAGCGTCAGAATCGAGCTGCCGGCCGCGATGCCTGTCCTTGCGTTCCCCATCAGCTCAACACACACACGGAAGCACGCCACATCAAACGGACGCACGCCCCTGAGCTGGTCAAACACGAGCGACGTGCCGAGCTCGCGTTTGCGCGCCGCGACCTCGGCAAGGATGCCGAGAAAGTGCATCGGCACACTGTGCAGTGTGCTCGGGCGCTCCGCGAGGAGCGCGTCAACGATGGCATGTGCGTTGAACACAGGCAAGGAGTACACGATGCGGGCGCTGTGCATCCACGCCGTGAGGTTGCCGAGCACGAGCCCGAAGCAGTGGAAGAGCGGCGGGACGTTGCCTGGCGCGCGGAGGGCAGGGGGCGTCAGTGTGGGTGTGCGAGGGAGCAGAGGTGAGGCGGGGCGCATACAGAGGACGTCGGACGGCGTGAGGTGCATGCAGCGCCCGATCTGGATGCCGTTGTTGAGCAGGTTGTGGTGTGTGAGCTGGGACAGAGGCGTTAGCGCAGCTGGGCAGTACGCAGACGTGGGCGAGGGCATACGGAGACAGCTTTTGGTGCGCCAGTGGTGTCGCTGAAAACATGGATCAGTGAGCGGAGCTGTCAGATTGCGAAAGCGCTCTGTGGCAAGTTGTTCAGTATCTGAACTCTCCGAGCTGCTGATCAAAAGACGGCAAGCACTTTGCACCCCGGCAGCTTGCGCGCCCCCAACAGCATGCAGCAGCTTCTTAGACGGCGTCACACTCGCAAAGTAGATCACGCACCTTGTAAATTGCAAATTTATAGTCTCGTGCTGTTGCAGCCCGCGCTCGAGTGCCTCCAGTTTGCGCTGTTCGGGGCCAGCGTGCCGCCAGACAAGGATCTCGCAAAAGTCGATGGCACTCTTGGCACGCGCCATCTCTGCGGCCCCCTGAGCCCCACCGAGGTCATCCAGGACAACGATGTTCTTAAGATCCGGCAGGCGTTCAATGTTCACGTTACCGGGTGACGAGGACACGAGGGATGGGAAGGCGTCGGCAAGGTTCTGGAGGTACGCGCTGGAGCGTATGCGGGGGACCAGGAAGAGGCGTTTAACGCCTACAAGGCCGAGGGTGGCGATGAGCTCGTGAGTGCGATAGGCTGGGTTAAGAGTGACAAGGATGGCACCGATACGAGCACAGGCCCACTGAAGCATCGCATAGGTACTGTAGGAGTCAACATCTGGCTAATATTTGACTGGAAGAGTGATGTGCGCACCTGTTGTTGCCCATGATGACACCTACTCGGTTGCCCTTGTTCACACTCATGGCCAGCAGGCCACGTGCGACGGCCGCGATATGGTCATCGAATTTCCTGAAGGTCCAGTCGAGACATGCTTTGTTGCTCTTCTGAGGGCTACCGCCAAAGGTGTTGGGCTCTTCGATGCGACATGTGAGCGCAGGGCAGTCAGCATGGAGTGGGAGGATCTTTTGGGCAAAGTAGGCGGGCAGGGTGAGGTGGCAGAGGGGTGGGTCTGTCGGACCCTCGACATAGGACCGGGCACGGAGCTAGCTTTATATTATTTTGCGCAGAAAGAGGTACAAAAGTGTATTCACTCTGCTTTGTAAATATGCTTAAGCTATTTTCCCACGGAGAAGTTGTCATTTTAATGGTACAAAAAGATATGCTACTTTTACACCTTTTGGGACATCAAGAGGGTTGAAATATTCTCAGGGCAAAATAATCATCATTTCTTCCTGCATATTTTCCCTAAAAAGAAGCCCTCCAGCTGAGACAAAAAGAGTAAGCCTACTTTGCGATTTCCGTCTTTGCAAAATATGAGGTAAAAAAGCCAAACTATTGTCGGGAAAACCCGTATGGAAAAAAGCCGACATGTTTTTAGACATAGAAATTGATCGCCCACTCATCGCCTGTTATCACCCTCTCATCGTCTGCCATACGCCCACTCATTGCCTCGTGCATCGACGGTCACTTACCAGGAAACTGCCCACACATCGCCCATTCATCGCCCTCTTGTCATCTGCTGTGCGCTCACATCGCCCGAGTATTGATGGCCACTTATCAAAAAATCGCCCCTTACAATGCACGCCCACTTGAACGAGATCATTTACTTCAAGAACAACTAATAGTACATGGGGGAGAGAAAGAGATAGTGTGAGACAGAGAGCAAGCGTAGTATACCCATACCATTACAAACAATCTGCTGACAGGGACTCCAGCTTCTGAACAACGTTCAATGTGAGACTTTTGTGGAACTTAAGCACCTCCTTCCACTGCTTAGCGCTGCGTGGGGTTGCCTCGCCGGATTGAATGTCGTGAAGCTGCTTCTGGAACCAATACTCATTGAACGACGTCCAGTAGCCCATATTAAAGCCAGAGGCGAGCCAGGTCGACCGCTTTGGCCACTAAGAATAATTGGTGGCACTTGCTGTAAAATGTACTATAGTGAATTAGTGGCATGCAAAAAACAATAGTTACAGGAATACCCACACGTAAGAACCCTGTACACACTGCAGATCAAGTTCTCTTCGTGTTGAGTAAGCACATCAGTCACACAAGAGTGCCTGTTCAGCAACACCGTTGTTTGGTGGCCTGACCAGCCTTGGGGCCCTGCAATGAGGATCGGCTGGAGTCTTTGAACAGCCAGTCGCCAAACAATTCCACCTGCACCTAATGCAGCCTGTATAGCATGTGGGCTGCGCAAGAGGAAGTCATTGCGAGTGTTCTTGTATGTAGCGTACTCTTTCTTGGACGTCTTGAAGCCTAGCTGCCAAATACCAAGGCTACAGTGGAGACCAGACTTCTCCATGCGGGGCAGGGACAGATTCTGTTCAGAAACTGGAAGCGCCGTTCTGAAAGGGATACTCCGCTTTGTGAGCTTGCAGACAATGCTGGTCTTCTCTGTGCTCTATGGGCGCTGCAAAATCTCAGCAGCTGTTGCAGCGCTCTCCACACATTGCATTCAGTGCCATTTTTCATTATGTATGAGAGAGCTAGACATGACATTGTTTCATTGAATATGAACCACCCTTCTGAAAGCCAGAGTTACACATGTTTCATCTTGCATGTAAAGGCCATAAATTTGCTTAGCAATGAGCAGTTGGCTGCTTACATAGTTAAGAAGGCTAGAAACAAGCTCTATTCAATAAGTGTTTTAGCTGAAGTATATACTAGATTTTATTGCTCTTTAATAGCTGAGTGAATGGATGTAAATTGAAGTTATACATGACCACTGAAGTTTTAAGAAAGATTTAAAGCCAGCCAAATCTTACAATGCCACATATGTATGCTTGATGCTGAGGTCTCTTGATGCAAGCACTTGAAACTGGATTTGTTTCTGTAGAAAGATTGTGCTTTAGTAGACATAATTTTTGAGAGTTTTGTTGACAAAATTTTGAGGCCAGACTGAGTCAACTGCCATTTGTGCTATTACAGCCTTTATAACATTAACAATATAAAATACTTATTAAAATGCACAAAATAAGATAGAAAAAAACAAATTACTAAAAACAAGTCAAAGTTACATAAGCAGATAATAAAAATTGCTGTTTGAAGCAAAAGTAACAGAGTTACACTGGCTTTTGTTCATGTTCATAGTTTTAGTAAAATACTATACACTTTGCTGGCAATTATGAGGGATACATTTTGAAATCTAAATTTCAGCTACTGATTGTGCTAATAAAAGCTTAGCACACACTCAATTGCAGATAAAACAATGCTATTAAGGATAAAGTGTAACTACTTATGGCTAATATCTGACTGGCTATATTAAGTGATATTGAGCCAGCTATAAGAGGTTCTAGTAGTGTGTAATGTATGTTATTGCTATAAGACACATTGATTGTATATGAAAATTGATTTTATTGATCTCAAATTGAAGTTGATTATAGACTATACATTGTAAAGTGGCACTTTGAAAAATATTATTGACTATCTAATAATAGTTCAATGTGCCATTTAAAAATTATCATTATCATCCAAAAAGCCATCTATCAAATCTATACATATATACAAATACTAGTTCAACTAGCAAAACTATATAAATGTCAATCAGGCCAACAAGGGTATATGAGTTCTGATCAGACTAAGAAATGCATGCAAGCACTGGCCAAACTAACAAACATACATAAATGCTGGCCAGGCCAAGAAATGTATATCAGCACTGGCCAGACTAACAAACATGCATAAATGTTGGCCAGACTAACAAACATACATATATGCTGGCCAGAACAATGAATGTACACAGATACTGGCCAGACTAACAAGCATACATTTATGCTGGCCAGAGCAACAAATGTATATGAACACTGGCCAAACTAACAAATATGCATATCTGCTGGCCAGGCCAATAAATGTATATAAACTCTGGCCAGACCAACAAATGTATATGAACACTGGCCAAACTAACAAACATAACATATCTGCTGGCCAGACCAATGGATGTACATAAACTCTGGCCCAGCCAATGAATGTATATAAACTCTGGCCAAGTCAATGAATGTACATAAACTTTGGCCAGACTGACAAATATATTTCAAATGTTGGCCAGGTCAATAGATGCATGTGAGCTACTAGTCAGACATATGTATATGCTGGCTAAACATTTAAATGCCAATTAGTTTGATATATACACTTTCAAGCTAATACATATATGTAAATGCTAACTAAGCTTAGCAAGTGTATACAAATATTGGCCTGGCTAAAATACATATTTAAATGCCTGTCTGAACCAACTCATTTACATAGGCATTAGCCTAGCTAACAGATATATATAAATGCTGGCCAGGCTTACAAATTAAACATCTGGCCAGCATTTGGATAACTCATGCTAGTTGTAACATTGTCATATTGACTTGCTTCATATGCAGTGAAACATTTGTAACTGAACTGTGTGCTCCACAATAAGCTGCCAGGGCCAATCGCCAGCAGCATCGAGAGTGCGGGGCTTAATGATGTAGATGTCTTGCTGGCTCGTGTTGTGTAGGATTTGTAAGATAGCCTTGCTGACGGCCATAGGTGAATTCACCGCCTATAGAAAGTTGCTGCGGCCGTCGACCATGAGATCGCACAGCTGTAGTGGGAGTGGAAATGAACAAGCCAACCAGCCCACGAAATCATTGACAGTGCTCTGTGAGATAGCAGGAACATCATCGGTTCCAGGATCAAAGCCTATCACATGATGCAGCCACTGCGCAGAGCCATTAATTTGCATCTTGCTTGTCTCTGCTGTCAACACGTAAGACGCATCTGCCTTAAAGCTGCATCAATATCGAAGGATTGTGAAAATGGGCTCTACGCGAACAGGCTCATTGACAATGACCAGGTCCTCAAGACAGAGTCTGAATGCGTTTGCGAACTTCTGAGAGTCAAAATTGTGGCACATGGCAGTAGCCATATCATGACGAGGGGGGCTGAAGGAAGAAGAGCATTCATTACGAGTGTCAGGGCTTCTCATTTGTTGATCACGCCTCTGAGGGTGAGTAAAGGAACCCTGCTCTGAAGCTCCGGAGGATTGCGAACATCGAGATGACTGGATCATGTATCTCATGCGAGGGGACTGTGAACGATCAAGCGAAGAATAGCAGCGAGAAGTGTGGTCTCGCTGATATGCTCTGCGGGGAGAACCTGGATGACAAGGGATGTGAGTACAGCCATATGCCTCGTAAGAAGAACCCCTGCGCTGAGGCATCTGGCTTCGATCTCGATTCTCACAAGTAGGCTGCCAGCAACAAGGAGATCGGCCACGTTCTCAATCCGAACCTACTTGCTGATAATAGGGAGACTGACTTTGCCTGTGGAATCTACGAGGTTGTTGCCAGGAAGAGTATCCATGATTCTGGTCTTGCCCACGCATCAGAGATGGCCCGCAGTCAAGCGCTAAAGCTTGATCTTCTCGTGACCTGTCTGGTGCTGAACTTGCTTGCCCCAAAATTGAATGCCCGAGATTGCCTGTAGCCAGAGATTCAGGTACCAGAGACGAGTCGTCAAACTTGTAGGCCCACTCGCCAGTGTTGTAGTCATAGTCGCCATCATTATTCTTGTCGCCACTCTGAACATTAGGATTAAAGCCTTCTCAAAGGTCCCACTGTCTGCTGAGTTGGTTGTACCACCACTGAGTTGGATGATATTGACTCCACGCCTCTTTGATTTTCTTTTTGCCTACAACCCTTCTCAACGACCACGCATCCTGGTCTTCCCAGATCTACACCAACCTGTGAGTAGGCAGGTTGTTTGTTTTGAGAGCACATCGTGTGAATTCTTCCCTTCTGTCCTTCTCTGAAGGGCTTTTCTTCTCCATAGCCTTACGCAACAAGGTGTCTTGTTCCTGAAAATATGCCTTGGTGCTCTGGCCTTGTTTTTGACCTGGGCCAGAGTGCAGTTTTGGAGCGGAAGGGTCAAGAACGCATGCCTTCTCAGCTTCATATATCATTTGGAGCATTTCCTTGGGCAAGGGTATACAGTGACATGTGTCCAGGTTTTCCAAAGCCCTTGCAATCTGCTCCTCACTGGAAACATGCCGATCTTCAGGGCGCATGGAGTAATGCAGCCAAAGTGGAAGATCTCGAACAGCAGAGACAGCATTAAACTTTTCTAGCCACTGCCAGGTTTCCGAAGTGTCTATGAAAGCTCTGATGCAAGAGATGGGTGATATCTTGTCGAACATCCAGGAGGACTGGAGGGCTAACTGGGTTTCATCTGGTACATGTGTCCAAACTGAACGGGTGATGTTGTCCGGGTTAACTAGGAAGGGGTGCATGCTGCCAAGGCAGAAGATGAACGCCATCTGCAAGATGAAAGCCCATCTGGCCTTGTCCAGCGTGCTGTAGGCATCTGATGAGTTGAAAGTTTCTGTTCATACCAGAAGTCCGAAGGATGTGGGGGGAACTCAATTGTCAGAGGGAATATCTCAATCATCTTGACAAGCAGGTCGTGTAGTTGAGCAAGCATTGACTCAAGCCAATACCATTTGGCATGAACGGTGTCTGGTAGATGAAAGTGTGTAGCAGGCAATTTATTCTTTGCGGTATGCTTGGTCGAGGCGATGTGCAAGGGACTCTGGAGCATTTCAAATAGTCGACCTTTAAAATTGACATCTCGGGGAACAAATGCCAGCCAAAAGTATGCGTCCGTAATCCAGTGGAGCTTGGAAGCCTTGAAGGGCTCTTTGTGAGGGAAATTTATGTCACCAAGGGGTATTGTTGGCAGTAGCGAAGATCCGTTGAACAACATCCAAGGCTGCATGGGCATACCGTCATTAGGATAGACAATGAACACCCACTAGCATTGTGGGGGCATTGTTGTGCTCTTTGGTGATACCGTAAGCACTGGAATACACATGCTAGAATGCTATTACTTACAGACACATTCTCTGCTAGCGTTTCTGGTGGATCAGAGAGCGCAGGCCTGAGCGCAGGCATCTGGTAAAATAATGTCAACAGGGCTTCTTTTCAGTAAATGAATGCTAACCTCTGATAGTGTCACGCTTGCTATAACAGCTTGATTATCTGACCATTTGGACTATTGGTCTGTTAGTCTGGTTTTTGAGTGAAGGGGTGGCTTTCATACCTGGGAAACATCTTCCTCTGTAGCGTTGCTGATGGCCTTCGCGTGCAAAGCAACACTCTTGTCAGCCATAGCCACATCCTCAGAAAAGACCATGTTGTCATTTTGAAAATCCATCATAGTGGGAGGAGAGCTATGGATTTACGGGGTTTGTTGTCGCAATGTCAAATAGTAAACTGGTGCATCACTTGCGTGAGCCAGCAGAGACCGTACGACGGTCTTTGACCAGTGGATTTGTGGTGAACAGAGTCACTTGTTCTCAGCTGGAGTACGCCAGAGACAATGACAAGAAACCTGAATGCCACCAGTACAACCAACAGCACCACATTCTTGTGATGATGCCGGTAGAGAGAAATCAGGATGAGTTGGAGGGGAGTTGCAAAGATTTAACGTTGCTGGTACAACCAACACCGCTGATCTTTATGTTGAAAGGAGGAGAGGACAGAGAGGGAGGGAACAGTTCATCAGGAAAGTGCAAGCGCTTACTGTAGTTGTCGGAAACATCTGAGATGCCGATGGCGCTAATGCACCTACTTCTGCCTGCCTCAACACTTCTTGTTGATTTTTCACTACCCTCCACCACCATTCTCTTGTTCGCAGAGTCATACTCTATGGATACCCTGCCATGCTCCTGCTTGAAGAGTCGCACTCTACAGGCAGTTTGGTACTACCGCCAATGATGTGCTCACTTCCACCCACCTCGACGCTTATTGTTTTCCTACTACCCTCCGCTACTGCCGCTCTCTTGTCCACAGAGTCATACTCTACAGATACCCTGCCATGCTCCTGCTCGAAGAGTCGTACTCTATGGGCAGTTCAGTACTACCACTGACGATGCTGATGCCATTGATATGCCCACTCCCGCCCACCTTGATGCTTCTTGCTGTCTTCTCACCGCCCTCCGCCATTGCAACCCTCTTGTTTGCAGAGTCGTACTCTGCAGATACCGTGATATATCCCTGCTCGAGAAGTTGTACTCTACGGGTAGTTTAGTACTGCCACCGATAATGCCACTGCCAATGTTGTCAACGTTCTGTTATGCTCACTCTTCGGGTTTCTCGTGGCCACTGCCAGCATTGGTACTCCATCAAAGAGTCATAGTCTTTGAGCAGCTTAAAGCTGCCACCAGTGCTGTTGACACCCCATTATTTCTGCTGGCTATTTCAACTCCTTGCATATCTTAAAACCATCGTCCGCCTGGTCAATGTTCCATTACTTCTGCCAGAAAAGCTACGCTCTCATGGCCGCATCAGCATGGGTGATGTTCCTTTGCTCATCCCCAGAGAGTCGTGCTTTCTGGGCACTTCCAGACTATTATCATCACCAGTAATGCTCTACTGTATTACTACCTTGAGAATTGTACTTCTCTGGCAGTTTGGTTCTCCTGATACACTGTAGAATTACACTCTAAAGGATATTGTAGGACTTGTCATGCTAATTACTGCCAACCATGCTTTAAGGGTTACCCCGATATACTATATCCTCATCGTCCATACTGTTTGCTATTCTACCCCACCTATACCTAATCCAGCTCATCCAGCTCCCCGTGACTCTCCGGCGCTGTCTCAGGACCGTCAATCATTGGGACATCAGCATTATTCTTCGCTATGTCGTTGATTGCCAATCTCCCTTATGCCTGGCTTGCCCTGCACCGAGCTCTGACCTGTTCCGTGGACTGTGGCGCCATTCTTGTAACTGAATAGACAGAGGCTATCTGGTGGAGTTGGTTGAGCACGGTGGAGAGAAAGAATCTGTGTGTGATGTTCCTGAAGGCATTCAGGTCTTTCCACGCTGCCGACCTTAGAAGCTAGCATGTAAGAGGTAAGTACTAGTGCTGCAAAATCTGTGACTTGAGCTCACATTCTGCCAGACAATGTACAAGGCTATGCCAGGGAGCATTTGATGGAAAAGCTTCCAAAGTAGAAGAGCACTCTCCCAGATTGCCCTGTACATGCCGTTGAGCCATGTGCCCTGCGCGCCTGGCTTGTGAATCCATATGCTAATAGCATGGTTACCATACTTGTCATTGGAAGCCGTAACGATTACGTTGGTACCGACACTGGAGGTGTCTGTCTGTTATATGTAATTGTATACATGTGAGTTATTTTTAACCAATCTTGTTTCCACGCACTCACAGCTACCACTTGCACCAGTTGGTATGGATGTTTTAGGACATTGAGCGGAGTCTTGCGGTCAAAGATGTACACGCATCCGTGATCACTCCCACCCATGATAACCTTGCCTTCTTTGTCAAATGCAGATTGTTTCGGCTTGCAAGTCAACAGCTCACCTGTTGGGAAAGTTTGGATGGGCAGTAGGGTGTCCAGTCTATACAGACTGAAGCCATTGATGATGTTGTCGATCACCAAGGCGTTCTTCCCTGAGTGTACAGCTGTTGACCCTCTGTAGATTATTAATGCACCAGCTGACTGTTTGACCACTTGCACTTACATCTTTCTATGCAATATTTGTTGGCTGAGGAGGATTGCCCCATTCATGCCCAATAGAGTAAGGCTGATGCTTCAGTGAGGATTGGGACAACGCATCGAGATGGTGATAAACCTACTATTTCTCATCCCATATGCTCACCACACGGATGTCGTGCGATGTGTTGTCCACAAAGGACAATCTGATTGGAACTGTCCTGGGCAACTCAATGGTGAACAGGCTTGTAAGCTGTTTGTTGTGTTGGAGACTCCAAACATGGATCAGTGTGTTGCGTGTACCAGTAACAAACTTCACCACGTAGTGGTCAGTAGGCCGAAGGCTACAGTGACTATCTCTTTGCCATTACCAATGTGCCGGTGCTCAAGAAGTTCAAAAGTTTTTTAGTGGATGTCATTAAGGGGTTTCAAGATGGGATCAATGATGCCATACCTGCTGGGTGCTTCTCCCACAGATCCCAAGATGGCCAAGCCCAGTTCTGAAGACAAGGAAGATGTTGCCATTGATAGCTGTCCAGGTGGTGCAGCTCACCGGGTCATGAGTGAAGTTGGAATCAAGGGCCAAGATTTCCATGTTTCTAAGCAGATCCCACATATGTAGGCCATCACTACCTTCATGGGGAACGTCAGCAACCTTTGGAATGGGCAGATCAGATGCACTTACCTCCACTGGCCAGCCAACGGCCATCCGCTAATATGGATACAGTGTGGACGGGACCAGTGTGACCCAGAAGACACCAGGCCAAGGTATAGCACCCCATCGTCCTACGTGAATGAGTAAAAAGCACAGAGAGCATGGCGACAAGGGAGAAAGGCATGGTTGTGGTGGTGTTGGGAGTACGAAGATGCTCAAGAAGGTTACATAGATGTGCGAGTGTTCTACGGGTGCAAAGCTGCTGAGTGGTTCAGTTTTTGACATCGCCCACCTGACATATATACCCATTTGCTCACCTGTATTTGTGACTTACGATGTGCAGGTGGAGTACCTCTGGGGAGCTGGTTCACAGTGAATCTCCTTGCGGCTACCTGATGGCTATCTATTGAACAAGCGGGACACTAGACCAAAGATGCAGCCAACTCACTGAATGTCCTCAGTGGCTGTTGGGTGAGATGCCTAATAACCTTCAGCATGTTTGGCATGTAACAAAATTCTGCTTTCTTGCTTTGCCAAAGCAGGAACAGGCTTTGAAACCAGGCTCTGTGGAGACCAGATTGACATCTCGGGAACGGTTCCTTCACTGATTCAGGGTTGTTTACCTGTTCCATAGCAACACGAGATTTACCTTTCCAACTGCTGACATTGTCGACACTCCGATGCTGGCTCTCCACACTTTGTGCCCTCATCAACTGCATCCTCCTTCCTCTATCTTCTGAGACAAGACAGATAATGGCAAGTGTATGTGTAGGAACATTGCTGTACATCAAGACGCTACTACAGTGTAGATCCTTACATTGCCTCCACTGGAATGTGTACAGCGCATAATGCTTGCTTCGCCTGGCTGAGTAGCTGGCTACGCCCAATTTATGAAGTTTGGCGATTATGCTGAAGGCCAGAAATTAAAAGTTGGAATATCACTTCATGGGTTCTTCATATTATTTGAGAGTCACAGAGCTTGTGGGAAGTTATCTATCTGTATTAGAACGCCAACTTTTCTTGGGCCCGGTATGGATATTCAGCTAATACTCAATTTTGTGATGCAAAAAGTGGGCGATCCAACCTGATGTTGTTAGGTAGCAGAGTTTGAAGCTTGAGTTAACCACAACTCTCACTTCATCCCCCAGAGTTGTTGAGTAACAAACATGCCCACTCAGGATTCACCTCCTGTCTACTTCGAGCCCTCCGAACCACTGACCATACCCATGTTAATTGGCCAGACCGAGGTGATCCCCCGACACTCTTCTGTCAACTTAGTCTCTATGATTGAGTTCACACCAACGAAGACAACCAATCGCCTGAAACTCTCGGTACGGGCGACAACTCCTCACCTTTGTGATGACACGCTCAAGACAGCTCGCGTAACACTGTATGAGAAGCTGACTCTGAAGAAGGTTTTCATATGGGCAGCGTCAGCCTCGCCTGCTAGCCAAGTCTCGGCAGAGTCGTCTCTTACCTTGATTGCTTCGACAGTTAACGCGAGGTGTTGGACCAGGTTTGATTAATCATGTGGTAGTAACTACTACGGTGTGCAATGTATTACCTACTAGTAACTGAGCTAGCAACTGCGTAGGGCCTGTAAAGCCTGTCCAGCACCTCTCGGCATGCTATATATGGTGCTTCCATCAACTGAGCTTGAAAATAGGCTGCATATGTAATATACTGCTTAATTGAAAAGATGACTAAGCTAAAACATTATCCCAATATGGTAAAGCATCTCAAAACATATGATATGTTTTGAACATACCATATGTTGAATGTTTTTGCATCATGTCATAGAGAATATATGTACAAACATATGATATGTTTTGAACATACCACATATTAAATGTGTTTGCACCATGTCATGGAGAACATATGTACAAACAAGTTCTCCATTAGTAAGCAGCTCAGCAAAGCAGTATTTGGGCTGTTATTCATAAAAAACTCGCCAGGAGCTAGCGAGTTTTTGGATATATATGGTAGCGCTCCCGGATTTGCAATAAGCGCCAGAGCGCGGGAAACCAGGTTCTGCAAGCTATTACACCTGCTCCCCTTCCTTTCCCCTCATAGAATTGTTAGGGAAAGCATTAGAATAGGTTCTAGTATACTTGTGTGGTGTATATCTTAACCCTCATGTCTTCCTGTGGTGTATACATTATAATAGGTAATAAATCAGCTTTAAAGTGAAAAAGGGTACCAGAAACAAATGGTCCTGTACCTTGTATAAAGCTTGGAAGAAAGTCGGATGGCTCTAGACATATCTATACATGTTATGCAAGCATGGGGAAGCAATTTAGAGGCCAGGATAACATGCAGAGATGCAGGCAGGAGGTCAGAACTCTTATTGCACTCATGATAGCTTGGACACTGTTCTCAGCCTTTAGTAATGAATGTAGCTAGGTACAAATGGTTTTGCAGATGCTCTAGCACTAATAAATAATATATACAGCTCTGTGAAGCCTTATCACACTGGAAAAGGGCTAACCTCCACTCAACAACATGGGTATGCAAACAGAGCTTAAAAACACCACATATGCAGATGTACAGATGCCTAAAGGCAGAGATAAGCTAGATACAGCTACATACACAGTATTCTGACATATTCTGACCCTCCCAGGTGGTGATCCCCTTCCCACCTATGCTGTAAGAGCCAGGCACACACCTGCGCACAGATGGTGGTTTTGAACTGGTCAGAACTTCATCAAGATGCCACTCCGGGGTTAACTGATGCACTGCTCCACCAATACATGTCCCCTGGACATATAAAGTTGTATACCCCTGTTTTGACAGGCTGGAAATCGATTGGAAACGGTCCGCTCGTCCAATTCTAAATGGTTGAGCCAGTAGGAGGTGTTTTCGACGAGATCAGCGAATAGGCGCCCATTGAAAACACTAAGATCTGCTTAATCGGACGGAATCAAAAATAAACCATAGCCATTCTATCTTGGGCTAAAAGCGACACCTTCCAGCATATGAAAAAATCTGATATGTGTCATTTTATTTGCCAAGCCTCACAGGCTCTACAGAGAGTTTGTGGATGCCTCAGGCTCCCCACACCCTTGGGGAAGGTTCTAGTGCCATCTATCATGAGTGTATAACATTAGAAGAGTTGTAGGTGTCGTAGTTTCGCATTTGACGCACCCAAAGGGCTTTGTATCTTTGACGCCGTGCTTTGGCCCTTTTGTCCGTCACGCAGTGGCACACTCCATCATTGCACCTTTGTTCTCTGTATGTATATATACGCGCCGTTTACTGTAAAATAAATCATCAGACTATTTCCCCACTCTCTCGTGTGCTCGACTACTCTACAAGAGGTTATGAGCCCCGCGGCGTAGACCGCATCAACAAACTTACCTTGCATCCCGAAATTTCGCTCTCACACCAAGTCTCAACACCCGCATCAGCACGATTATCAAGTAACGATACGACAGCATGTTGGCGGACAGTGAACGGATGACAGCCATCTACAGTGGCGGCAGCCACTGCATCGAACCCCTTTGCGGACCCGAAAACTTCGTGCCATGGACGGTCCGGATGGAGGACATCTTGGACGACATGGACTACTGGCCTATCGTTAAGGGGGAGCTAAAGAAACTCAAAAATGATAAGGAAGACAAGTGGACAAAGAAAGACCACAAGGCACTCACCCAGATTCGCCTCCATGTCTCGGAGGCAATGATCCTCTATATCATGTCTGCAAAGACATCGAAAGATGCTTGGGACACGCTCCAGGTGATGTTCAAGGTCTCCGGACCAATCGCGGCTGTTCTCATCTGGCGGAAGCTGTTCCGCTACATGATGGAGGAAGGCTCCAATGTTGAGGAGCAGATCCACACGCTGCGTGGTTACCAAGAACAGCTCGTCGCGCTCGATTCGGCGGTCAGCAACAAAGACTTCGCATTCGTTTTGCTCACCGCCCTCCCGGACTCCTGGGACCCATTCGTCAGCGCGCTCGACACCAGTGATCTCAAGACGAACAAGCTCATTGGTCGCATCCTTGCAGAAGACAACCGTCGGAAGGCGTGCGCGACCACCGAGACGACGCTATTTGTGAAGAAAGGCAAAGACATGAAGAAAGGCAAGTTCCGCAAGGGCGTAACATGCTATAACTGCAACAAAGAAGGACATCTCGCGTCAGAGTGCCGTGGACCGAAGAAGAATGCCAGCAGCAGCAAGCCGTCGAAGGCACATCACACTCTCGATTACAATACGGATGACTCCTATGAGTTTAACATCTTTGACAAACAGGCATTCGTTGCGCACTTAGGCCTATGGCTGGCAGACTTGGCCACTCAGTCACACATTGTACGCGACCAGTCTCTATTCACTTCCTACTGCGAGACGCCTGATGGCAAGATCTTGGAAGCCGGCTCGTGTAGAGCACTCAGACGCAGAACTGTCCCTGTAATCTTCAAGGTCAATGGATGCAACATCTCGGTCACGCTACAGGATGCGATCTATGCACCTGACCTCCCAAGCAACCTCATATCTATGGGACGACTCACCAAAGCCGGTTTCACCTTTGGCGGCTCGGGCGACAACTTCTTTATCGAGAAGGGCAACCGCACGATCGGATGTGGATGTAAATTCAATAATCTGTATCAGCTGGACGTCACCTCTGCCATTTTGACCGCATATGTCGTGAAGACTGGATGCACCTGGTACAAATGGCACTGCATCTTGGGCCACCTCAACAAGGCGCAACTTTGCGATCTCAAGAAGCACTCGGTCGGCATGGACATCGACGAGTCCTCAGACTTCGATTTCGCATGCAAACCCTGTATTCAGGCGAAACAGGCTAGACGCCCCTTCCCGAAGGAGTCAGAGACGCAGTACAAAGACATTGGCGAACTCACCGTGTTCAACACCTGGGGTCCAGCACAGACCAAATTGATCCACTGCAATCGGTACTATGTGTTGTTCACCGACGCAAAGTCCTGCGATTCCACTATCGGCTTCATGAGGTCACGCAATGCTGCGCTCGACCACTTCAAGAAGTACAAGGCCCGCGTCGAGAAGCAAACCGGGAAGAAGCTCAAGGCTGTCCGCTGCGACAACGCGAAGGAATTTGTTGACAGCAAGTTCAAGGCCTATCTTAATGAGCAAGGCATCATTCTCGAGACGACGGCACCATACTCACCTGCCCAGAACGGAATTGCCAAATGCCTAAATTGCACTCTTGTTGAACACGCTTGTGTGATGCTCATCGCGAAGAACCTGCCGAAGTTCTTGTGGGAAGACGCTGTCGCATACGCGTGCTTCCTGAAGAACCGGTCTCCCACGCGCGCACTGAGTGGGAAGACATCTTACGAGGCCTTCTGGGGCAAGGTGCCCAATGTTTCCGACCTACACGAGTTTGGTTCTGACGTCTGGGTGCTCAGGCCAGAGATCCAGCAGAACAAGCTCGAGGCAAAGTCAGAAAAATTCCTGTTCACTGGTTTCAGCAATGGAAGCCGGGCATATTGGTACTATAACTCACGTTCATGCCAGATTCTGATGTCTCAGAATGTCATTTTCCCTAAGATGAGGATGCCACTGATACTCGAGGTGCCAAGTCCTCGACTTGAGGAGGAGAATGTGCCGCTCGCGCAAGACAAGTTGAGTCCTCCGGCCAAGGACACCACTCCATCTCTCACCTCTGCTAAACCTGCACCGGATTTGACCCCCGATGATATTAAAGTTGATGCTGGCAACCCATCGCCCCCTATTCGTTGCTCCGCATGCTCAGCAACTCCCGCATCAATTAACTATCGCGAGGCCGCAGGCTACCAGGTTCAGAAGCCCAAAGCGGATGGCAACAGCATGAAGGCGCACTTCGTGGCCGGCGAAACATGTTTCCACACCTACACGGACAAGCCGCAGAGCATACCCGAAGTCAAGTCGCGACCCGACTGGTCACACTGGAAGACTGCCATGGACGCCAAAATCGCACAGCTGGATCGACTATCGATCTACGAGCTGGTCGACCTGCCCTCGTGCCGCAAGCCCATTGGCTGCTGGTGGGTATTTGTAATCAAACGGAAGGCTGGTGGCAATATCAGCAAGTACAAGGCACGACTCGTTGGCCAAGGCTTCACGCAGAAGCCTGGGCAAGATTTCTTCGAGACCTATGCACCGGTCTGTTGACAAGAATCCCTCTGCAGTCTCATGGCCATCTCAGCACTCTATCGACTCTTCATACACCAACTTGACATCACTGGAGCATATCTTCACGCTGAACTCGAAGAAGAAATCTACATGATCCAACCACCTAAGTACAGCGATGGCACTGGACACGTCTGGCGACTGCGCAAGGCTATCTATAGGCTACGGCAAGCTGGCCACGTCTGGAACATCAAACTCAACTACGAGCTTGCAGCTCTCGACTTCTGCCAACTTTCTGCCGACGCCTGCGTGTACGCCCACGCACTCAATGGTGCCCCCATCTTCATCATCACGCACGTCGACGACATGTCTCTCATGACGTCGAGCCTCACCGTTCTCACAACTGTCAAGAAGCAGATTGCATCCCGACTGGAAGTCACCAATATGGGTGAAATCAAGAAGTATATTGGCATTGAATTTGACATCGACCATGAACACGGTATCTACACAATGCACCAGACCACCTACCTCACAACCATCATCGAACGTTTTGGCATGCTCTACAGCAAGCCCGTTTGCATGCCCATGGATCCAGACGTCCACCTCATGCCCACACCCGAGAACGACGCACCCGATACAACATTTCCGTACGCAGCCGCAATCGGCTCGCTCATGTACGCGGCTGTCAGCACAAGACCTGACATCGCGTTCGCCATCCAGCACCTTAGCCAGTTCACCACTCGTCCATCTGCTGTGCACATCACGGCAGTCAAATGCATTTTCCGGTACCTGAACGGCACGCGCACACTCGGCCTCACCTATTGATCGGATGACTGCAATGTTCTCACCGGTTACACTGATGCTGACTGGGCAACATCTCTTGTCGACCGTCGCTCTATTTCCAGCTATGTCTACATGCTCGCAGAGGGAGCTATTAGCTGGAGCTTGCTCAAGCAGCACTCCGTCACGCTCTCAAGCATGGAGTCGGAGTACATGGCTCTCACACATGCTACCAAGGAAGCCGTATGGCTTCGCGCCCTCTTCTCTGACCTCGGACTGCTCTCAGACGGCCCAACGCCTCTTCTCAGCAACAACCAGGCCGCCATCACATTCTTGCAAAACAATTAATTCCACAAACACTCCAAGCACATCGACGTGCGGTACCACTTCACACGCGAACGCATAATCTCCAACAAGATTTTGGTCACCTACTGCGCATCCGAAGACAACCAGGCCGATTCATTCACGAAGGGCCTGTCTCATCCCGTGCACGAGAGGCAACTCGCTCGAATCGGGCTTCGCGCTTGTTGAGGGAGAGTGTCGTAGTTTCGCGTTTGACGCACCCAAAGAGCTTTGTATCTTTGATGCTGTGCTTTGGCCCTTTTGTCCGTCACGCAGTGGCACACTCCATCATTGCACCTTTGTTCTCTGTATGTATATATACGTGCCGTTTACTGTAGAATAAATCATCAGACTATTTCCCCACTCTCTCGTGTGCTCGACTACTCTACAAGAGTAGGAACTTTGGAAAGGGTTTCCTGCTACTTTCAGGTCCAAAGAAATCGATTTTTAATAGAAACAAAAGTATAGTATATTATACAGCAGTTATATTCACTCTAAACTGCAAATAACTACTAAAAATAGGTACAGGTACATATGCTAGGAGGTTTTGAGTTCATTGAACAAAGGGGAGGGGAGAAATTGAGCCAAGAATGGCCTCCAAAAGCGAAATTGATGTAAGGAGCCAGATAGCCGGGTAGCAGCTTGGTGGCACTTGATGGAGCTGATGGGGCTTAAGTCCGCGCTAAATCTGCAAAAACTCGACTCTCAGCGAGTATTTTGTGAATAGTGGGCTCAATATTGGTTTCTGACATATGTTTAGTATAGCAAATATGTTCAAACATATGTTCACCACCTTCCCATGTTATAAAACAAAAACAAGCGCCCAAAGCGGTATGTTATGGCATGTCTCCCAAATGTGGTCTATATTTCAATTCCAGTTGATGGAAACACCATATATAGCGTGCCAAGAGGTGCCGGAGAGGCTTTACAGGCCCTACACAGTTGCTAGCTCAGTTACTAGTAATACATCGCACACTGTAGTAGTTACTGCCACACGATTAATCAAACATGCGCCAAAGAGTGTCTGGCAAGAATGACACAGTCCAGATCAAGCCAGTGTGCTCGTAGATCCCCATCAGCTCCTGGCCGGTGTTCGTGTCCCAGATCTGTGCACTGTGGTCCTTGCTGCTGATGATGACCTGTCACCCGCATGGCTCATTGCCATGCTCCAGATTCTGCCAGTGTGTCTGTTGAGCGTCACAAGTTGCACACCAGAGTCGGCATTCCAGATGATCCCACGCAAGTTACCGCACGGCACAATTCACTTGCTGTCACTTGTGAATGCGACAAACATGACTTGCGCCGTGTGTCCCCAGAGCGTGAGCAGGAGTCACTTCTCCTGCAGGTCTCACACTCTAATGATGCTGTCCACAGAGCCAGACGTGAGCTTGCTGCCGTTGGAGCTGTAGGCAACCTGCCAAGCGTCGAGCTCGTGCCCCTCGAGCTGTCTGACTTCACTGTCTTCGTAAAGGGAATGTGGGTCTCAGAGGATGATGAGCCTGTTGCCAGAGGCCGATGCGATCTGGGTGCCACTGGGCAAAAAGGCGACGGACCAGACATTGTTATTGTAGGTCTGCCACTTCTGGATAAGCTGCCCGGTCTTAATGTTCCACATTTGTACAGTGCTGTTGTCAGAGCCCATTGTGAGGAGCTCGCTCCTAGGAGCCCATGAGACAGATGTAATGGAGCTGCCCTCAAGGTCGTTATCAGAGAGTAACATGTGCGGTAATCAAATTTGTTGCCACCAATTGCCACTTCCTTGCTCAGCAAGCACTGGCCTCTGCCAACGAGGTTCTTGATGTAGAACATGCGAAGTGCATCAAGCTGGACCACCTCCATCACCGTCGCCATTATTGCCCTGGTTGTCTGCATCTTCTGCTTGAGCATTTGCTTGCTGCATCATTTTGCAGAGGATGGCCTTTCTTTCTTGTGCAACAGGTTTTTCCAGGGAAAGTGTTCCCACTAGCGACCTTGTCAGTATCAAACTCTGTGAATCATAGAGAAACATATGGCCGTCTTCAACCACGATCTCCGGTGTGCTGAGAATTAATCATTATTGGAGATTCTCTGGGCTGTCATAAGTCCCCTACTAGCAATGATGTCAAGTAAATAACAATGCAACCACGAAAGGACTGCATCACATATAGCAAAAAGAGTGCTCACGTTATGTTCACATGCAATAGCAACTTCTGCATTAGAATTCTGCGTGGTGCTCAGTAAATTACTTAGCCTTAAAAGACTGCATTTACTGCAATGGTATAGCCGAGCACAATATTGACAGGGCCGCTAACCTGAAGCTAGGTTAGCTATGAAAAGGGCTTGGAGTAGTCTGCCATACTCACATCTTTGGCTCCAGGGTCAGTGTCATCTCCACCTCTGTCATCGTCATCTGCCACCACGATTGGATCAAGTGTGCGTGAGAGAGAGAAGACTCTACAATGGCCGTGAGCTGTTTGGCAGTAGAGCTCAAGGATAAAGGTGCAAGAATAGAGGCGATGGTGCTGGTGGCGGGGTGCGCCCCTCAGGAGTTGTCAGTCCTGAGCTTCTTCATATATCTGGTGAAAGTGTTGTTGGGAACAAGTGAGTTGAGGTTGGCATGATTTGTCAGTAGCAACATGGCGCCTCTCTCCCATGTGCATGTATATTGGTAGTTTGCGTTTCCACCTACAGGTACGCCGGCCGATGTAGCAGCACCTTGATGCGCAAAGCAGGCTGCTCACTGTGTGAGAATTGTGGTCACTGAGAGGAAACAGGCGCCAGTCATCTATCGCATTTGTGCCACTCTCTCTTTAGGGTTTGCTCACCACTCGTATCGCACATCAAGCCAGCGTTGTGCCCACCATGTTCTGCATCCTCCCTCTACTCGTATCTCACGCGTTTAATGGTGCCTGGGCTGCATTACAGGTGCAGCCTACCTTTTAGGTGAGCCGCCACATACTAAACATGAGCCGGGCTCACCTTACACCGATGCAAGACTGTAAGACCTGTCAGTCGCCCTCTGCTGTTATCTGCAACCAACCCCAGCTAGTGGAGCCGGTTGTACACGTCCAAGGCTCAGCACAACCATGCAAAGAGGCAGATTACGATTAGAAGGGCGATGGTGGAGAAGCTCATGCAGCTTGAGGCTAAAATGGCTGTGGAGTAAATGCTTTGCGTGCCTTTGTAGTGGTACTAATATCTTGCGTAGCAGCGACTTTCAAGTGCTGTTCCTTCACAGTAGGTGGTACTCAGCACAACTGGACATACGGCAATGTATCCTGGACGAGGTACTGAAGTCAAATGCCGCTCAGACTGCTCGTGCAAAGAGGAAACAGCGCATCGTTATCATGTAAGTCTCGCTGATATCGCACGAGGTGCTTTGCTCATTTTTTTACAGCTCGACGTTGCACACTGGCGGTGATATGAAGCAGTCCCACGAGCACCATGACAACACCCTGCATGTGCAGGTATGTTTATGCACATTTGTACCGCCCTACTATGGGCAGAAGGACATAAAACACATTATTGTGAATATCTAATTCGGCTCATTTGATAGTTTGCTGCCCACCCCCTACTTCATTGTCATTCTTACCATATTAGCCACTATCCCCTGCTTTATTGCCACCCTTAATACATTTCTTGCTTGCACTCCATTCGCATAAATGTAGCTTTCACTGAAATACAGCTCTACTCCCCACTTCACCTCACTCCAATAGTCGCTAATTCCAGATGGTCCGAAGTGGATTTTGTGGAACTCAGACAAAGCGTCACAGCCTTGTGGTGTTCAGGAGTCAGCAGCACTTTTAACATGAGCAAATTCCCCAGAAGCGACCCTCTCCCTGTCTGCTGCAATGCGCGGGTGCACATACTCTCGAGCTCTCTCACCACTGTCACTAGCGAGCCTCCCCCACCCTGGTCGTCATCATGCACTTGCCCCTGGTACCACCTACTCAGCAGCAGCTCTGTTTCGACCACTCTTGGGCAGCTCAGTGCGCACCGCAGCCAACATCTTAAAGATGGGTGCACATGTCTCTGACATTGCGCACAGCTGGGAGTATCTCAACAAGATGCTGGTGAACGCCAAGATGCATGTATGTGCTCCAGGACATGGCACACCAGCTCACATATCGCCTTAAAGGCTGCGTAACAGTTGTTTGAGAAGATTTCAAGTGGTACTCATATGCGCTCAATGACAGGCCATCGCCTGGCAGCAATGACCCTCCCAGACAGGCTAGTGTGCTGTTGGATCCATGCCCCCCGTGCACACCAGACAGTGCACCCACTCGCATCACCCGACCTGCTCACATTCGCAGGTGCTGTTCAGGCAACTGGCAGGTAGATCAGTGGATGACTAGTGGGCAACTAGTGGGTGACCAGTGAACATGTCAGTGAGCCACATGCGGCAATGCCAAAAATAGTTAATGTGTTTGTATTGCAGTTCTTTTGCGACAAAAGTCAGCTCTCCTATTTAAGCAAATAGATAGTAGATGTATACCTTTTTTGTACATATCTCAATAGAAAATATATTTATTATTCTATATATGGATAGCCCAGTGGTATTTGTACCTCTTTTTGCTACATGCAGAACAACTTTTTACAACAAGATTCACCAAAAAAAAGGTGTCTTTGTTTGGCTCCTATTTCCAGGTTTTACCTATCATATGTTTTTACTGGAAAGTGTTCGATCTTTTTAGCTTCTATTCTCATACCGATTCAGGTGAAAATATTAACTAATTAGCCCCGTGCATGCAGCTCTCTTCATCACACCTGCTCACTTGCCGTTAGCCATGTGGACTGCCCCAATTTCCTGGTGTGGCGTTTAGCTACAGCGCTGAACTGAGTACTAGCACTGTGCGCTGGCGTGACGGCCCAACACATGGTGACAAGGGGTGACAGCTCTGTGACAGCTCGCGACATGGGTGTGTGACGCGATGCACATCTTCCCGTACCGCCGAGCTGCAAGTCCAAAACTCATTCTGGCCCACGGACTGAGCTTCCGCCATGGACATGCGCGCACGCCCGCCTGTACTCAGTGTCTTTCATTCCACCACACGATGCAACTCTCCGCCTGCTTTGCCCTCTCTCTTCCTTCCTCTGTCCCTTCGCCTTCTCATTCTCAAGCTGCTGTCAATCTGCTTGAACTTGTGTAGAATAATGCTCGGCACATGTCTATATCACCGACGGGCATCTCTACGGCCCCTTCACATCTTCCTACACACTGACCGATATTGAGCTAAAGATGAGCCATGTATCCTCGAATGTCCTGCTCAGAGCTCGCTGTCTTATGGCTCAATTGGCTCTGTCTGTCTGCTCTTGGAGGATTGTATATTTCATTTCACATGGGTACGTCAAAAATTGCGGACACCGTCAATGTTTTTGCCCGTTGATGTCGGTTCACAGGTGAGCCCGTGTTTGTGGTAACATCTCCATCGTTTTCAGAGGGGTCTATACTGCTCTTGTCTAAATGGTGCGTTTGACGGCAAATTTTTCAAGCTTATTCTGGAATACGCTGTCATGCACCATAATTATAAGTATAGGAAAACTAAAGGAATAATAGGTATTCAAATCAAAAAGAAACCGCTTACTCAGAGCTGCAAAGTAAGCATAAACACTTAAGCTTACTAAAAGTGAATCAATGACTAATAATATGACTCAGCTTCTTAGTAATCTAGAAACTATGCTTAGTAAAGGTCTATGCTCAACAGCTATGAATTACCAAAGTATAGTAATACTCTAACAAACATTAGTAATAGCTTACCAATACATTAGTAAAACAGACAGAAGGCTGACTAATACAGACAAAATGCTTATTAATAAAAGTAGAAGTAGCTTAGTAATTACAGTAGAATAGAAGAGCCAGTTTTGCTATTGGCTAAGGAGCAACAGGCTGAAAGGTATAAATAGGAGAGGTTCTCTGAGAGACACGAACACACCAACCCACCAAGCACCACACACACTCTCAAGGATTTAGCTAGCAGCAAACCTGCAGTTCATCCCCTGAGCTCTTTAGCTCTCAGAGAATAGACTCCTTTCTTTAAAGCCTAGGAAATTCCTTAAGCACAGTAGAGCCTCCGACTTTCAAATAACCTGAAGGGAAACGCCCTTGGTATAGTGCACGAGTTCACTATTTGACTAACCCTAGACTGCAAGAGCTAGTGGCGTCATTATCTGAGACTGTGGTACGTCTCCTGTAGAGCTTACAGTAATTAGACTAGCAGTAAAGAGATTAAATCTATTCTTGATCTTTAACTCTAAATTGGAAGCTTCAGACTGCTTCAAGTTATACAAATCCTCTAAGGACATTAAATTGTCCTTACTAGCCAAAGCTTACTAAGTTAACCAAGACATTAAGTTGTCTTTGTTACCCTCTTATCTTACTTATCTAAAAACCCTATTCTACTAACTCAAGTAGCTAGTCCTTAAGCTACTAACCAAACCTCCTTACAGCCCATCTTCCAAGATTCCTTAAAAAGTCCCTTGTAAACAGGCAAGTGAGGCTTTAGAGTACTTAAGCAGATTAGTAGGTGGTCTTTGAATTAGTCCCCCACGAACATCAGGATAGCTTGGTTGAAAGGCTAACCCAGTGAACCCTGGAAAGAAAAGATTGGGAAAACCAAATCTAAGTATTCCATACTATACCCTTCTTGCTTTTAGCTTAGAACAGACCAAACTCCATTCTTTTTTATTAAAAAGTAGCCTTCTAGGATTTCTCCTAAAATTTTCTTTATACCAAACCTCATTTTTATTTTTACTTACTTTTCTTATCCTAACCTTTTCTTTACGACAACGTCCCCTCGCATGGGATTAAAAAAAATCTGTCTCCTGCACTCTTCGTTGAAATCAAGTGCGGCTGAGCAAATAGCGGAAGACGGCAAGAGATGACTTCTGCTCTGTTACTGTGCTAGAGCGAAACACAGAGTGTGTACGCAATTCATCTGCTTCCTTGGCTCGTGACCAGGCCCAAGAGTAGCAGCGGTGCAAGTGGAATCGACTTCACGGCTGAAGCTGATGCTAATGTATTCATGTCAACCAGGCGACAGTGTTGTACGTATACCTCAACGGGCAGGGGTGTTTGACTTCTGATCCTGCACCAGGGCTTCACCAGTTCCACAACCTGTTTCTCTGGTACTGTCTGCAGTATCATTAATGGCTGTAAGTAGATCATTATGCTTGCCCATGGCTCTAAGGCTCATGAGATCATTCAGATTATTCGCTGCATTCCCGACACCGCATCCTTTGCTAGCGCAAGCGCAATCCCTAGATCTCTAGATCCCCCCGGGCAGTGCGCCACCTAACGCTGGTCCTCTGCATTTTGTAAATGCAAATATTGCCGGCTTCGACCTCGGGTACAACGTGGATGGCTCTTACAGCCAGCGGCGTGCGGCCTTCTCTGCTCAAGTATTATGGCCATGGTGGTGCTGGCTAGATGCAACACCTTGTCAACTATGACGGTTTCAGTGTCTTCCCTCTTCCCTGTCGGCTGGCAGATCCTCACCAACGACGTGCTCACCGGTACCCTTGACAAGGACAATTTCCAGGAGTACTTGTCCAAGCTTGCTTGGCTTGCAGCGCGAGCTGCATCATTGATGTGCGCAACTACGCTCGCTGGAAAGGAGAGGTAATTGGATCTTCTGTGCTGTATTATACCCTCTGGACTGACATCTACTTCCAGATTATTAGCCCGGATATCTGAGCAACAAAGTCTTTGCTTCACTCCGGAGCAGCATTGCAAGCAAGTGCGCCAGCAGCGACCGAGCTGCCTTTGGAGTATAAGTCTTCTCAGCCCCCTTCAGCTTGACTTGCTCGCTCACTTGACATCAGCCTGAACGAGCCCCACGACATCCCCGTCATCAACCTCTGGACATGATCTGTTCAGGCCTCTGCCTCTGCCATCAGCCAGGTGGACACGACAACGCAGCCGACCTTGCTCGCAGGCAACGACTACACATCCTCCAGAGCCTTCATCTCAAATGACTCCACAGCTACTCTTGGTAACGCCATGAATCCTGACAGCACTGTCACGAACCTAGTTTTTAGTGTCCACAGGTGCCTCGATTCAGACGGCTTGTAAGTTCTTTGCCATACTTGCTCGAGACAAATTCTGACAGCGAAAAAAGTGGTAGCCATGCCGACCATGTGACTGACACCGCTTGCTATCTGCTTGCATGCCAACAGCTGCCAGACATTCAATATCGTCACCTGCGGTGAAAGCAATGCCTTGTGCGCGACGTACCTATACCAGCAGATTGCCTTCGCCTAGCAGAATTCTGATGGTGAGCCCATTTCTGTCATGTATCTACTTAATGGCGATTGACAAGGCTCAGCGGCCTTCCCTGGCCACGTCAGCAGGGCTGCAGGCAATTTGACCTGAGCTGTGTCCTAATTGAGGTTCTGACAGACACGAGCAGGGGCTGAATGGGCACATTTCTCATGGCTGCTTGCTTGACACTCAAGTAATCGTGGGCATAACAGGCTGTTCTGCCAGGTGCTCAAAAGCCTTAATTTAGTTTGCTAGGGGTTAGAGGCTGTACTCTAAGTTCGGCAAATTGCATATACGGCACCACTCTATAATTTTGCGAGTGTTGTACCTGAGATCGAGCAATTGTTGACATACCTCTCGTGGTTCGCTCGAGGAGACACACCATCAGTCAGTCTCGTCTTTGCTGTGGTCTCCCAATGTTGACGCGAAGTTCAGGTGCTCTTTGCCAGTCATGGTGTGCTCTCGTTTATTGATACTTGCTCCAGACAGTTCTGCAGCAGAACCGTGGGTGTTCTCCTGTATATTGCTGCTGCATGTGCCGCACGCGACAAGAAGCTGGACTTGGGCCGGCAGACAACTTTCGAAAACAAAGCTCTGCCGCGTGCTGCAGGATACGAGATGTTTGCTCCTGGCCATGAGAGCAGTTTGGACACTGTTCCCCGCCACCGGGGAAGGCACAAAGCAGGCTCTCGCTCCAATGACTCTTGCGCTCTGGATTGTCTCTGCCAAGGCGTAAAATCAGGTATTGCAGCAACGTACGTATCAGCTATGTTGCAAGGAGATAGGCGACTGATGAACATGTTCACTCTCCAGGTGGTATTGCCAGCCATGAGCGTTGAAGCCCGAAGTTTGGTTTGGCATTCTGAAGACTTCGTCCTGGCTGTCTTAGCAGGACTGGGCAGCCCAACCACTTGCATGGCTGGTATCTTCTGCAGTGAGCACAATGATTGTATATAGTAAGATATCTTTTGCTGTCCATACTCACTACTTACACTTTCTGCCAGACTGCCCACCACGTGTCCCGCACATTACGTCCGAGTAGGGTGGACCTACCACGCCACCAACACCAACGGTGACCATAGACATTATCTCCTCATAATCAAGCAGCAGCTGGCACTCTGGCCCTCTTCGAGCACTCTCTCAAGCATCTCTTCAAGCGCATCATCAAGCACATCGACTGCGCCCTCGCAGCCCCTCGTGCGCCTGTGCACCAAATTCTCTGCCTGCAGCCATTGGTGCGTTGCGCTCTCGGTCATGGCATTTCTGCAAACATCATGTGGGCTTAATATTTCAGCATACTTCGAATGCCTCTTGCACGACATCCACGCCGTAGTTGCTACTGACCAAGGATCATGAACGACATGAGCAACGTGGGCCAGGCTCGGATCCGGCGCTTTGTCAATGACGATGGCTTCAGCGTACTTCCACTTGCCCGTCAGCCGGCAGCTTCTCACCAATGACATCCTCAGTGAGACTTGGTTGTAAGTTTCATTGAGCATTTTGTCCGCTTCCTTAATACCCACTCCACCCTTGAAGATCACTTTCCACACAAGTATTAAAGCCCACGTGTGAGCAAGAGTTGCCAAATGGATATGCACACAGTTAGTTGGTTTCTCAATGTCTAAAGTATGTCCCGAGACAGGATGATGTAGGGATGTGTCGTTCGAGAGCTTTCCGGGGCGTTGTAGAGGTAGATTCGGCTTACGTGGGTCGACGTCGGTGCGGTAGGACGAAGGAGGAGATATGGTCATCGAGGGAAAAGAAACTTGAACGCGCGAGCAGCGAACTCTAGTTACAGAGACGCCGCGAGGGCCAAAACCTACAACCTAATACTTAAGCTAATATACTGTTCGACTAGACTTACTGCTCGTGCTCGTGCCCGCGCTCTCGCGGGCGGTTCTATACTTGACTCGAAGGCGGGCGGAGGCGACAGCTCACGCGCGACAGGGGAATGACACTCGAAGGGAGATTCTGGGGGAAAGAGGTGCTTGCTCCATTCGAAGGTGGGAGGTCACCTTTATAATACATGACAAAAGCGCCACTCCGCTGCCGTGCTCTCGGCCGGAGTGCCCATAGAGAAGAAGAGCGAGAAGCGTCGTGAAAAGAGACCAAAGGGGAATGAAGGAGTGTTCTGTAATGGGTAAAATAGTTAACGTCAGGCTTCGGGAACAACTCGCCGTTCACAACGGGCAATGACTCGGCGCTCACTCGCGCGGCGGGCCCCTATTTACTTGCGCGTTCCTGCTGTCCTCAGGTCGCGGGGTGCTCCGTCGTCGACGAGGTGCTGCCTACGTCCCGCTGTTCTGGTCGAGCCGCCGTCCGCCGTTCGCATACATAAAGAAGTTACCATCCATAGTGAACGCGTTTCTGAGCCCAAAGAGAGGAAGAAGGGAATGAGAACGAGCCGGAGAGTGAAGGAAGACGAGGGGGGGAGAAGTGCAAGAGATGTCAGACGCGGCACAACCCGGGTACCGTTCCATTCCGACGGTTGGACTTCGTGACGCCATACCGGCCGTGAGATTGATCGCCGTTGCGCCGCTTAGTCGCAGCGCGAGGACTGGTCTGCGGGAGCTCGAAAGGAATAGACGTGCGCAGGGTAAGCGTACAAATGGATAAAAAAGGTGCTTTGCGCGGCGCTCTAAGTATCCCTTCTACAGCGTAAGTCAGCCTGGTCTAAGGCAGGGTGAAGACCAAGCACGGCGCAAGCAGGAGATTGGTCGTTTGCCTCGTGGGCAGTTCCCACTACAGCTCGGCCAAACCGAGAATACTGCATTTTCTGGATCAAGCCATTCTTCCGGTGTGACGACATCGTGAGTTGCAGTGCTCACATCTTGCTCAACCTTGCTCACGAGGATGTGTAGGTTTTGGAGTAGAATAGTGGTGTACGAGCAAGTATGTCATTGAAAGGCAATGCAATCGCTCTGGTGGTCATTGCTACTTCAAGCTTCTTGAGCCTTGCAGTGGTCATTCAGGTTCATCGTCTAGGTATAATTCAGTTACAGTGCTCATAAATCATGACAGGCTGTTGCAGAAATTGTGCGTGCAGGATCTTGTCGGGAGAGCGAAGACAACGGAGGTGCTATTAGCGACATGCAGCTGAGGGGCTCCGCCGACCCGCAGCTGGGCGGCCTGCTGTCTGTGGGAACCAGTGAGCTGCAGCCAGTGGGCGATCTGCAGCCAGCAAGGCCGAGCAACTCACAGCCTAGTAACTCGCATTTTAGCGACCTACCACCAGTGAGATCTAGCGATCCACACCCAAGCAACCTACAGCCCAGCAACTCACAGACCAGCGACCCACAACCCAACGACCCACACTCCGGTAACCCACACCCCAGCAACTCACACCCCATCAGCCCGCAGTCTGGAGATCCACAGCCAGCAAGTGCCAGCGACCACGACCTGCAGCTGATGAAGCCTAGTGGCCCACGGCAGGTGAGAACCATCATTGGACACTTGTCCTACATAGACTCATAACAATTACCTTAGACTCCCCCAGGCATGGAACATTGGGGGGTAGTGTGCCGTGGGTGCAAAAAACCAATCTTCGGCATATGTCACAAGTGTGTGGAATGCATCAGGTTCGACCTGTGCCAAGACTGCATATCCGTCGTGTCACTTTGTTCTCAACACGAATACACCCATATGCTCTTTCTGATCGAGTATCCCTGGAACCACAGTCCATTTCGTGATTTATCAGTAGTGCCGCATATCGTTCATCCCAATTTCTATTGTGATGGCTGCCGTCAATGGCCGATCATTGGTGTATGTTACAGGTGCCTCTCATGTGACCACTTTGATTTCTGCTCTGCATGCTTCAACAACATCAACAGGCATTCCGCACACCATATCTCTTACGAGTTCTTTCCCATCCAAAGCCCAGAAGAAGAAGCGAAATTCCTTGCCACGCGGGACAATGCTCAGGTCCCTCCAACTTTCCCGGGAGACCATAGCGTGCTCCTTCCCCAGAGAGATGTGACAGAATGCACCTCCTACGATGGGACTGGTCGACGTTCCGACGCAGCATGCAGCAGATGCAGCAGACTCACTGTCGAACACTGCTGCGTCGACTGCGGTGGCCATTACGGACTTTGTACTGCTTGTGTGAGCGATTCGCATGTCCGCATGTCCCACAACCCTCTACATAGCTTCACCGCGCTTGAGTCGTCTACAGCATGGCTCGATTCTGAATCAAATCCATCCTCGGAGCACAACAACATTGCGAGCCAGACCAAGTGCAGCGAGTGCCAACGTCGCGTCTTTCGCATCCGACACAAGTGTCTTGAATGCCCCGAATTTTCGCTCTGTCACCTCTGCATCACCTCTTCCCAATGCTGCTCGGAGCACGGCATCAGACATTGTCTTTTCCCTGTCGGGTACCCATGGGATGTTGGCGCTTTTGAGGCTGTCTGCGCAATATTAGATGCATCGTGCTGTCGAGGCTGTGGCTTCAAGATCTTGTCGGGCTGGCACAAGTGTCTTTCATGTCCAGACTTTGCCTTGTGCTCATGGTGCATGTTAGACCCAGATGTGCGTCTCAAGCACGACCTTGGACATCCCTTTTCCCCTTACATATCACACTCCGGGTCTGGAATTGCCGAGCACAAAGCTAGGCGTCAACATCAGCGAAAAAATCGGCAGCTTATATAGCCTGGGCAGCCCTGGTAAAGCTAACCTCACTTACAATGGTGATCATTCTGGGAACAAATATTTCAACGTAGATATAGCACCGTTTTGATTTATCAAACATACCAGTCTGGGATCCTTTAGCATGCATAGCATGCTGGTGAGATTGGTATGCACTGGCAAGGCATTACCAGCGAGCACCAGTCTGGGTATCCTTTACAATACCGCTCGCAATAAATTGTTGAATATTTCAATATATTGGGAGCCACCTTGCACATCATAATTGAGGACAAAGAACAATATATTTGCAAAGCTACAGTAAATACATGGGTGCGGGCGGGTGTTATGAACATGTCGGTGATGTCAAACAGTCAAAGCGGCCACCCGCCGCTGCCGCATGTCGCCACCGCATGTGTCACTTGCACTGTAAGCGTTCGACAATGAGTAGCCCTCGCAGTGGTGCATGTTGCGCAGAGATTGAGTCCTGGACTGGACGCACATGTGAGCATTCATCACGTGGGAGCCTACAGACTGCGATGCATACCGTGAACACAGTATGCATGCTATTAGATGCGCTATACAAGACTAGGTGTGGAGCCTGCAGGCACGTCCTGCTTGTCCTGCTCGTCAGATCCATTCGACAGAGAAAGTGTGTACGTGAGAGCATACACGTCGCAAGCTGTTCCTTGCCCTTATGCTCTGCGCGTGCACAACTAAATGCTGATTATAAAGCTTCGTGAGTGTGCAACACAACAAATGAGCTGTACACTCACAACGCGCATCAGGTGTCATGTAGGAGTGCAGCATGTTCGAGGGAACAGCTTGTAAGATGAGAGAATATGTCTAATAGAGACCTGTGCATGAGAAAATGGATAAACGAGCGCATATATGCAGGCCACGTACCTTATATGAACCTGCGCGAGCGAGATGACAAAGCCATGAGCCAGAGAAGCATACAGGCAAGCATATACAAACCTCACATGATTGGGTTGCTGTCTCGAGTTCTTGTGAGACCTGCGCTGAAGGCTGGGAGCCGACATCGCGGCTACCATATACGCGGTCAGCTGGCTGTACTGTCAATGAGAATGCTAAAACAAATGTGCATGGTGCGAAAGGAAGGAGAGACACACCCCGATTGGCTGCAGGTTGTCGGTGAGCGCATACACCAAGGCCGTACATATGCAGGTGCCCGTGATCAGGTCCCAGAATGGCGTTGAGTGATTCATGGGCACTGCATGTGTAGTGTGGCGGTGGTGGTGGCGGTGGTGATACAGAGGCAGGAAGGGGGAGGTGTCCGTTTGATGAGACCCGTGGCATGGTGGTGGGGAAGTAAGAGGCACGGAGCGACGAGTGCCCTCTATATGGATTAATATATAAAAGGAGATACATCAAAATAAGTTTAGAGTATGTCAAACGAACCTTTGACTTGTCTCGGAAGAGTTGACATAGAGGCAAAGGCTGATGAAGGTCACGGTGGTGCGTGTGACGTCACGTCATCACCGAGGTCTGAGCTGATCTGAGTGAGCAGGTCATGTTATGTCCAGCGATATCATAATGAGAACGGAACTGTATTGACATACCGGTCTGGGTTGGGATTGCAATGCAATACCAGCCTGGTTTCGCCTGTCCTTGCATTGCCAGCGTCCACCAGACTGTTAAGCGCTTGTTTAGCAACCCTTTCTTGATCTACAATCGATTTTTAGCTGATGCAGCAGTTCGCCACATATGGGAATTTTCTTGTCCTGCCATACTCCGGCTTGGAAAGTACTAGCTTTGGCTCAGAACACGATAGCTCCTCTGATAGCGTAAGTCTCTGAATCTCAATCTGGAATAGTTTCTATGTTCGTCCACTGATGCCAAGACTTGATTCTCATTCAGGCTGCTACAGAACACAAATCGCTTGCACAGTCAAGAGTCTTCTTTGAGTTATCAGGAACATTTGTGTGTTTCTCATGCGACTACATTCCGTGGGCATGCACCACGTCACTAGTGATGGTTCCTCGTTTCGTAAATCCGCAGATCCCAGGGTTCCAGACAGACCCGGTGACTGAAGCTGAATGCACCCGGGCCACCGTCCGGGGGTCGATACAGATGGCCACCGCTGGCATCGTGCCCACCCACAACATTTTCTGGTCAATGTGTTCAGGTCCAGGCGAGATCTACACTCTCACTCCTCTCACTCCTTCCACCGTCCCTCTCCAGTGCGTACACATTGGCCAAGGTGCAATACCCAATGCACTCGCCGACATCCCTTGCAACCTCCTGCCAATCGACGATCTGCTCGCCAAACTCAACAATGTCCTTGGGACGTCGTATACGCTTGACACCCCTGGTGTTCGTGACTGCTTGGAGTACGCGGTCAGCAGTTCATGTGATTTTGGAGAGGTGTACGGGACTCTGCACTTGGAGTGGTCGGGCTGGCGGAAGCCTGAAGACTCTGCCGCGGCACTCACCAGGATGAAGCGCCGCTGTGATGAAGTCCAGGAAAGGCGGGACAATTCCATCTGCGATCACTCCATCCAGGATTCCCAAATTCCTCCTCAACGTGTGTGGGACCTGCACAGCAACCGAGTCCTCCCATTCCATGTCATGCCTCGGGCACATCGCGAACACAAGGATTGGTTGCCCAATGACCTTTGGATGGTGTCACACAGCTGGGTCCACGAACAAGACTGCGAGTACGTCATGACCGTGATAACAGACGCCGATGGCTTGTCCTGATTCTGTGCGGCACATCGCTCAACCACATCTGCATCGAGCTACTGAACATGGGCGCCACGTACGTTTGGCTCGACGTCCTCTGTTTATGACAGGCGGGTATCAAAGACGACGACAGAGCTCGGCTCGAGGAGTGGAAGCTCGACGTACCCACCATCGGTCACATCTACCAAGCCTGGCCAGATGAGAGACCGTGCATCACATATTTCAACGGCTTGGGGTTGCTGTTCAATCCGTCGCCAGCGGTTGTCGAGTCAGATCGGCACTGGTTCAATCACGTGTGGACCGTGCAGGAGACGCGGAGGCGCTGGCTACCTGGTGGACTCACTGCGACGCCTCATGTCAATAGCCCGGGGTTCTTTTCTCGGCTGGAAGATGTCTTTCAAAGTTTGTGGAGTTTTGATGCCATTCAAGCCATGAGGAATCGCCATTGCACCACCGACCTTGACAGGATTGCTGGTCTTGCTTATTTCCTGGAATGCTTGACACTACCGCTCTATGATCGGTCGGCTTCCTCGGAGTCTGCATGGACGTTGCTCATTAAGCACATGAGTGCAGAGTGGCGGACATCCCTTTTCTGCCAATACAAGTCTGACGTGACGTTCGGACTCTTCATCTCATGGGCCAGGTTCCTTGGGCTGAGGTCACAACCGGTGACAAGGTTCTTTTGGGGAAGTCTAAAGCTGGTGGATTCTCTGGACATTCACACCAATGACCCAGGGCAGTATTACGATTTCCTATCTGCCACCAAGCTGTGCTATGTTGTATCCCCACCCGATAACACACACCAAGGCAGCAGACCACAAGCGCTCCAACTCCACTTCTACGACCGCGCTGATCCTATTACTGTGCAAGTCTCTGCTACCAGAACACATGGATGTCTTGTTCCACATGTTCCCTATCGCTTTCTCACTTCTGTCGGGTTGTTATCGGGCATAGCGGCCTGGGTTGCAGTTGAGGCGGTCGGAGAGCGGGACTTGCAAGGCGAGAAAGCACTTGAGGTGATCAAGTGGGGTATCATTCTTATGGACGAGGATGAGGGCAAGAGACTCAGGAAGCTAGGATTAGGGAATGAAGATGCAACGGTGGTTTACTTGTCAGGTGAGGAGGCACTGACCAGGAGCGGGCATGTCGACAAGTACATAGAGGCATTTGACAGGGCGAGAGAGAGCTGAAAGGTGCAGAACGAGCTGTAATGTATTTAGCGATGTGCAGCGAGAGTGTATCCATAAGGTCTGAGCCTACAGATTGCATAACGAGGTCTATCATAGTGGCTACAGAGTCCAAGGTGTATTAAAAACTCCCATCATACCCTCTTTCCCGCCTCTGACTCGTCTGCTGATGTCTCGATTACTGCGTCGGCCAAGAAGCCGGAGTTGCGTGTATAAGTGAGAGCAGCATTGAATGATCCACTGACGACGACTTCAACTTGCTTACTTTTTCAATCTGCAAACAGCCGCGACAGGCTGCCGACCGGCGTGCTCTTCACTCGAGCCACAAACCGGAGCGCCGAGCAGCACACTTATGAAGGCGCCAATAGGGGCGAGGACTGGGGAGATGGTGAAGCAGTCGTATCATATCGTAATGAGCAACGTGCGCCCAGGTACATGTAGGTTATAAAATAAATCTAGAGACCATCAGCCAACGTCTATCATATCGTCAGCAACACTCAAACCATGTCAAGGATCCCATCGGCCTTCCAGTGTGTCTGCCAACACCTCTACAATCGTAAGCATGCCGTTTCGAGCCGGCCAGAACCTGCGCCCATGTCCCAGCCAGCCGTCCGTGCGCAGCCAACGAAAGTGTAAAGTTGACTGTCCGCGACTGCCTTCGATGTACGTGCCTCCCCAAGCAGACCATGATGTTCGTCGAGCGGGACTCCTCCCGGAGGCCTACAAGCTTGAACACACATGAACAGGCCTTCTAATTGGTCGCTGAGGGTGTGTGTCGCCTTGTGAATAGCGCAGAGGCACATACAGGCGGCCAGGTCGGCGTACAGGCTGGACCAGAACACACACCCCTCAGCGCAGCCGGTATCGTGCATCAAAATGGTTTGACACAGAATATGATACATACCAGATCAGTTTCTATGTGTCAGCTATTCTCATGCATGGCAACAGTGTCTTGGAACATATGACAGCAGGCTGATACATCTGGGGACTACTAGAAACATGCAATAAACTTGTTACGTGTTTTATATATAGGCCAAACATGTGTCAGATTTGTTGGGGCAGCTGTTACAGGTAGCAGGGCAAATTATTGGGGCAACTGTGTATTTTTAGAAGATTCCATGAAGCTGCAGGAATATGGAAGAATAGTGTAGAATAATATAGAATACTCTAGAATAGGCCAAAGTAGACCAAAGGATGGGGCTTCCAAAAGCTATATAAGGACCCCTAATCCACCCCAAATACAAGCAACTTTGAGAGCAAGAGTCTCGTCTGTGTGTGCCCAGGTAGAAAGTGCAATCA